CTCCTGATCCTTTGGCTGGAGAGAATGCCATGAACGTCGTTTTGGTTTCTGCAGAATGTGCTCCATGGTCCAACACAGGTAATTCAACGAATCCTCTGTGTTTACATTGAGATTTTCGCTGATCCTTTTTTCTCAATCACAACTGAAGGATTAATTGTTCTTGCAGGCGAGCTTGGGGATTTTGCTGCTTCATTGCCAAAGGCTTTGGCTGGACGTGGACACAGGGTTATGGTAAAGTCCTTTCTTATCTTTCAGATCTGTTCTTCTTGCTAGGATCTTGATTAAGTGAACCGATCTTGCTAAGCATTGGATATGAAGGTGATGAGCAATAGTAGAGAAGAAGATTGACTGCTGCAGTCTACAAATCAGTATTGTCGTTATAGAGTCCTGATTAACTGAATCATTCTTGCTAAGTATTGAAAATGAATTGTGTTAGAGTAATAGTAGAGAAGATGATCTACTGCTTCAGTCTGTAATCAGTATTGTGTCATAGCATCTTGATTAACTGATCAATTCAACAGTTGATTCTACAAAGTAATCTGTAATCATATAGAATGGTTTTTGAATCATGATTATTTATCTCTGTTCATAACAGAAGATTACCTACATTGTCATTTAGGTTGTTTCACCTCAATATGGTGATTATGCTGGGCTTGAGCACTCTGCAGTAAGAAATATGCTTAAGGTGGATGGTGAGGTGTGTAATTACCAGATGCAACACTTGAATAAATTTATACAGCCATCTTCTTCTGCGTGTCATTAATGGGATCTGTATTTTTGTAATGTTACGTTTCAGGACATAAAGGTCACTTACTTCCAAGCCTACATCGATGGCGTTTGCTTTGTCTTGGTAGACTGCCCTTTGTTCCGTCACATAGAGAGCGATATATATGGAGGACAGCGAAGGGTATATAATATTTGTTCGTTTTTGGTCATCTTTATGCTTCTTCGTTATCACCCTTGACCAGGAGTCTTACCTTACTGGTCATTAAATTATCTCTGCAGCATCTTCTGAAGCGCATGGTGTTATTTTGCAAAGCAGCTGTCCAGGTACACTTGAAAACTCTGCAGCATATCTTCCTGTGATGCTTACTATAGCTGTCTGATTGTGCCATTCCCTGAAAATCTTGAAGGGCTAAATCGTTACATCATCTGTGCTAAATACAAAGTTGTTCCTTGGGTGTGAAACAAGTGACCGTGTTGGTTTCCAGGTTACTGGGCTTTCCCCCTTTGCTGGTTTTTTCTATGGAGATGCAAACTTGGTGTACATTGCAAACGATTGGCACACAGCTCTGCTTCCAGTTTATCTGAAATACTACCGCGACAAGGGGATCATGAGCTCAAAATCCGTTCTCGTGATTCACAACATTGCTAAGCAGGTCCGCATCTCTTTATGTACATTTTCAATCAGTGTTGTTTTTCCAAGTTAACGTGGCGCGGGTTTGTACTTTTTGTTTCAGTGAAGGATGACTAACCAGTGATGCTCTCTGCTTTAAGCAGGGTCGGGGCCAAATGGAGGATTTCCGGTACGTGGACCTGCCGGCAGAGTACTCGAACCTCTTTACATTCAACGACCCAACCGACGGCGGAGTGCACTTCAACATCTTCGCCGCTGGTCTGAAGACGGCAGAACAAGTGGTAACAGGCAGGCACGGAGAGTCCTGGGAGCTGGAAACACCGGACGGCGGGCAGGGCCTTCACACCATGATAAAAGAGGTCGAGTGGAAGCTGAGTGGGATAGCAAACGGCATTGACATCCAAGAGTGGGATCCACGTCGCGATCTTCACCTGAATTCCCACGGCTACAGCAACTACTCACTCGAAACGTTTCGAATTGGAAAACCACAATGCAAAGCGGCGCTTCAGAGAGAGCTTGGTTTGCCAGAGAGGGCAGGAGTTCCTTTGATTGGCTTCGTTGGGAAGCTGGATTGCAAGAAGGGCGTCGATCTTATAGCCGAGGCTCTTCCGTGGATGGCAGAGCAAGATGTGCAGGTTGTGTTGCTGGGCACAGGGAGGCAAGACTTGGAGCAATTGTTCAGAGAGTTGGAGCGCGAATACGGGGATAAAGTTAGAGGGATTGTCGGGTTCAGTGTGGAGACGGCGCATCGAGTCACCGCCGGCGCGGATATCTTGCTGTTTCCGTCCAGGTTTGACCCGAGTGGGTTGAACCAGCTGTGTGCGATGATGTACGGGACGATCCCTGTGGTTCATGCCGGTGACGATGGGTCGAGAGACACGGTTCGGACGTTCTTCCCGTTTAACGATTCCGGGTTGGGGTGGATGTTTGATTCCGCTGAATCGAGTAAGCTGGAACGTGCGCTGGGGAATTGCTTGTGGGCGTATAGAATGTTCAGGGAGAGTTGGGAAGGGTTTCAGATGCGCGGGATGAGCCAGGATCCGAGCTGGGATCACGCGGCGGAGTTGTACGAGGAGGTTCTTGTAGCCGCTTGCGGCCGTCAGGCGTCGTCGTCAATCGAGTATGGTGATTGGTGATTTTTCCTTCTAGGTCTCTGTTTTTTACTGTGAGATAAAAGAGAAAATGTAAATAGCGATGTAGGAGTATGAGGCAAGGTGTTAGACTAACTGGTGGGGTGATCATGTGAGATTACGTAATTAGAAGAAAGTAAAGACGTGAGCATTGACTTACTTGCCCAACCAAGATTTGATTAGGCAGGATTTAATGGCTGAGCTTTGCTAATTTTGATCCACGTCAGCTTTTTTGTCCTCTCAGCGTTTCTCTCTCTTGATTTTGTTATTTTATATTTTCTTTCCTCGTGTTTTAATTGATATTGGGAATTCAAACCAAAAAAAAAAAAAAATTGATATTGGGAAGAAGCTGTCTTCCAAAAAGAGCATGCACAAAGTAAATAACCTAAGTGTCGAATCGAATCCTATTTCCCTTAATTAGATGGGAAAAATAATTTCTTTGCCTTGCAGGTCGATGATCAGGACACCGGCAGCGATGGCGCCCTGTCGCGCCGGGGAAGGGGCGATTCCTCTCTTGCTACTGCATTGACAATCGACGGTTATCTTTTCTCTTTGTTTGATTTTCTCTTGTATTCCCCTGCAGTGCAGACCATTCTTCCCGGACTGTTGTATGCTGTTTCTCGATTACACTGGCCCCAGTTTCTCGATTGGCGGTTGCTTGAACTGTTGGTTTTAGTTTTCGATGCTTACCTCCCTGAACTGTTCAATTTGCCCACATCGATCTTAGAGCAGATGTACGGGTTCTGGTTTATTTAATTAGCTTGTTCGTTTTGCCTCTGGTCTGGTTGGTTAAGTTATTCTCTAAGTTCAGCTTGCTCTGATCGTTGTTTGGTTACGGCTTAGCCGTCTCACTCGAGTTCTGTGCTCTCCTCCGGCCGCCGCCTCCCAAGGTTTACGGTAAGGCTGGCGGTCTCGTAATCACGCCGGAGCAGATTATGGGTTCAACCACATTTCGCATTAAATGAATTTCATTACAGGTAAGTATCATGCTCATAATTTTTAAATGATTTAATGACCTTCCTAATTATTGTTAATTACCCCCTGTTTTATTCTCTATGCTTTTATAGCTTCTTTAGTACCTACTCAACTCAATCACCGCATCGGGTAAGACAATTAGAATTTATTCAATCAATTACTCCCCTATTGGAATTTGAAAATCATTTTTGTTATCCAGAATACCTTTTAATGCCTCTTATTAATTAATTTTTTTGGCAACAACCGGTTTCTTTTATTTATTTATTTTTTTAGGATGTTGTTTTAAATTGTATTTATTTTATAAGTTAATTTGGGTATTTGATTATCCTCATTTATAGCCATCTACACCTATTTTATTTAATTTTAAATATATGATATTAAATGTGAGACTTTTTTTCCTGTTGAAATACCTTTTACTTTATCTATCGAGGTGTCAAATCATGGTTTTTAATATTAGAACCTTTTAGTTACCTTCTTTATTTAAAAATTTCATTTATTTCCCTTTTCTAAGGGGACTATTATTTATTTTGTATATTTATATTATTTATTTCCTATAATTTATTTTCTCTGAATCGTTGAATCGCATCTTCGATGTGGTATATTCGGTATTTCCGACTTTGTCTCAATGATAGACTTTAATCTCTTTGGATAGAGATTTCTAGCACTTTAGTGGATCCCTTTCGGATTGATCAGGTTAAAGGAAAACATGAAGGAAGTGCAATCCCCTCATCAGTCTATCAGTTAAGGCCTTTTGCTTTTTGTATATTTTCATGGTATTAATGATGCCTACTAAATGGTGATTTACTAATAATCTCTTGTTTTTTCTTTTGAGGAAATTATCAACTGGTTATCAGAATGCTACACATTCTCGAGGAGGAGCTGTCTTGGAGGAAGTGCTCTTTTTTTCTCTTTTCTTGAGTCAGTGTCGTGTCATTTGCTCCTCGGAGCTTTAACAGAGCTGCCCATGTAGTGGCTATAACCGGCTCTTTCATCGGGAATCCGCTTGCTTACGGATTACCGCATTTATTTTGGAGTCCTTATTGTATCTGAGTCGCGTCTTTGTCCCATGCTCTTTGGGCTTGCCTTGGAAAAAAAAAAAAAAAAAAAAAAATCCCACCGAATTTCTCCATTCCATAGGTTAAGCTTATTTCTTATTTTCTCAAGAAAAACTAAACTCATTTTTACCAAAGAATAATAATCACAAAGAATATAATTATTAATAAAAAAACAACAGTACAATTGAATTAAATATATTTATCTAATACAATCATTTTTTACCCATTCCATTGGTAACTTGATGATAGATGCTGTGAAGACTCGGTGAGAGGGCCCTTACTTCGCGATTGTATTCCGTTGTTGAGATTCTGTTCTTCTTGTATTCATTTTAGTTCAGTCCCAATGACTGTCAACTGGGATGCTCATAGAGTGGCAAGACAAGTCCTGCTGCTGTCCCCTGTAGAGATAGGGTCCTTCGATTTTGTAGGATGACTTCACTAATTATCTCTTTGAATTTTGGGTAGAAGATTTAACTATTGTACTTTGATATTACTTGGAAAAAAATACTGAAATCAAGTTATAATTAACTTATTATAGTGTGCTTCCCTTATATTTCTATAAAGTTAAACTATACAAAAGCTCACGTAAATTACCGTGGCATTCTTCTTTTTCTCTCCCTATCTAAAATCTACTGTTTACCGCCGGCGAGGCGCCACCGGGGTCTTCTCGTTTGCGTCACAATCTGCGAACTCGACAATGGCCGCTTCTCTTACGCGATCCTTAATTTCCCCCCTCACGAGCCGAACCCCTGCTAAACCCTCGCGCTCCGATCAAGCGCCGCAGATTCTACTTTGCGCAAGACGGCGCTCCTGCGTGTCGGTACGAGCCTCCACATTCGGTAACAACAATTCGTCTGATGGAGCCTCTGTTTCCTCTGCATGCAATGTGCTAACCCAGGATTCGCTTCCGAGTAGGGATTTTCTTACTTCAGATTTGGGTTTGATTTTCTCTTTTGTATGGTATTCGTTGGAGGAATTCAATTCAATTGTTGTTCTTCTGCCCGTTTTCAACAGGGCGTTTGACGTCGGCGCCAGTGCCTAATTCAGGGTCCGGTGGTTCTCCCCTCCGCGTTGCTTATCAGGTTTGCTGTCGCTTTCTGCATTTCGATATGTGTTTCTGATATAAAAAAAAGGGTTTTTCTCTACTTGATTTCCTGTTTTTACTGAAATGTAAATTTGAATGCAGGGGCTCTGTGGGGCACATAGCGAATCTGCTGCCCAGAAGGCATATCCCAACTGTGAGCCGGTACCTTGCGATCAATTCGAAACTGCATTTGAAGTAAATTTCTCTTCTTTATGATGTTTCTTTTACTGGGATGTCCGATTTTTCTTCGATTGTTCTATGTGACGGAGAAACTTGGGACTTATCATGATTTGAATTAATACCGAGGACCTCAAATTAGGCTCTTCTTGCTCACTGTTAGGCAAAGCAACACTGTTATTTGCTATGGTTGGGGGTTGGAATTCAGTTTTCAGTGATGCGCCAATTTTAAGTGGCTTTCAGTTGTGTTCTACAGTGAAGTGTGGTTGAACCATTAGTTTGAAATCGCTTCACAGATTTTGTGATTTATTGATGGAACTCCATGACATCAGAGTCTTAATTTGTACATATGTGTTTTGCTCCGTGGATGTGATTGTGCACGGCCTTTTGACATTAACCTTTACAGGCTGTTGAAGGCTGCTCTGTGGACAGAGCTGTGTTACCCATCGAAAACTCTTTGGGTGGGAGTATCCACAGAAATTACGACCTCTTACTCCGACACAGGCTACATATAGTTGGAGAAATAAAATATGCTGTTCGTCATTGCTTGCTAGCAAATCAAGGTGTTAAAGTTGAACACTTGAAGAGGGTTCTAAGTCATCCCCAGGTATGTTACTGAATATATTGTTCATGGATTCCTTCTCAAGATATTCAACTCAACCAACTGGAGGATTTACTGGAACTTATTTCAGGCACTTGCTCAATGTGAACATACGTTAACCAGGTTGGGATTGGTTAGAGAAGCAGTGGATGATACTGCTGGTGCAGCAAAGGTAAGATGAGATTTTACGTGTGTCAGGTTTTGGTTGGTCTGCACCATCCTTGCATTTATGTTTGGGATTGTAGCGTTGGAACCATATTGAGTGGCTAATCTAATCCCGGATTCATTTTTATTCTTTTTCCTCTCCGGGTTTGCTGGGATTGAACTCCCTGATTTCAGCATGTTGCACTCAAGAAATTGGAGGACACAGGAGCTGTTGCTAGTTCCGCTGCAGCTGAAATCTATGGCCTAGATATATTAGCAGAAGACATTCAGGTTTCAGCATGTTTTGTTTTATTCCTGTTGATGTTTTATGTTGATGCTAGAACGGCAGTTCGTAACTGTGATCCTATTCTTTTAGGATGCCTCTCTCAACGTTACAAGATTTCTGATGTTGGCGAGGGAGCCCATAATTGCAGGCACTGATCGTCCCTTCAAGGTTAACATGACAGTAATTGTATTGATAATTAGTGTTGCCTGTCTAACTTAGCAGGTAGGGTTCATGATAACATTGTTTCTTTGGGTTTCAGACAAGCATAGTCTTTTCACTTGAGGAGGGCCCTGGAATACTTCACAAGGCTCTTGCAGTTTTTGCAGAGAGGCAAATCAACCTAACGAAAGTAATTTTCTTTTTGGCCCCTCATTCCCAGCCAAAAACTTTCTTATGCTATTTGCATGTTCATGATTTTGGTCCCTTTGTTCTGAACAAGATTGAGAGCCGCCCTATGAGTTGGAGTTCTGAGAGATTTCCTGGACTAGATGCCAGTGGACTTCAGAAGTAAGTTATTGACAAATAGCTGGTTCTTCGTTTATATCCCCTCAATTTAACTCCTCTATCTTGTTCATGCTGTAGCTAAGACAGTAGTAGTATGGTTTTCTGCAGATGCTTTCACTATCTGTTCTATGCCGATTTTGAGGCTTCAATGGCTAGTGATGATGCTAAAAGGGCCCTACAAGATCTAGAAGTGTGTCTTGTTTTTCCTTCACAAGCTTTTCCGTTGCACAATGATTTTTCTTCCTCATTGCATGTTGGACTTGCCATGAAACGTGTGTTTATATCCTTTGTTTGCAGAAGCTTGCAACATCCTTGCGGATTTTAGGAAGTTATCCGGCTGATACTACCATGCTATGACGAAACTCCTGGAATGCAGTAAGCATTTACCTGATTGATTGCTTTGCATATGCTTCATTTCTTCCGTTCTTAAGACGGTACTGGGTAGTCCATTTCCCACCACCTTAAACCTTCTCTGGTTCTGGTTGCCAATGCAGGTGATGACCGGCCATGAGGAGAAACATGGGTGTTTCGAGCCGCGACCAATCCTCTCTACTTCTGATTTTGCGAATGTTTTGCAGCAGTTTTTGCAGAGATGATTTGATGCACTAGTGTGTGATGGATCACCCAATGATGGCCACCACCATGCTTCGTTCGTGGCTAGAGGGCTGGCCCAAAAAGCCCATCAACGTAGGACTACTGCTGCTGTCATAGGGTAGCTTTGATAATTGTTCTTGCATACATAGGTTGAAAAACTTAACATCGAGCACAATCTCGATATAAAAAAAGGTATTATTTTGTTTCTGGGGGAAAATATCATAAACAGACAAAAGAAAACATATCTCAAATAATGCTACTACAAAATGGTGGTAGCTAGTCGCACTCATGGCATTCTGTCCACCAAGCACTGCATCCACCTTATCTTGTAAAGGACACCCAAAAACTTACTTCCTTCTCCTTCTCACGAACCAACCAATCCACACCATCATCTTCAAGAAATGTTACTGATCAAACCAATTGGCTCGCCAACGGGGAAATGGGTATTAGCGCCAGCAGCAGAAGGTCTCATCCCAGCCCTCAAACACCTGCAGGTGACGGCGATCCAAAGACGGCCCTCAACAATCCCAACTACTGCGGCGAGTATGAATTCATTACACAAATTGACGGAGAAGGCCTATGGTCCTTGTACTACTACTGTCGCCGCCGCAGCCGGCAGGAGGCAAGCGAGATGGGACAGCGTCGCCGATGAAGAGGAGAACAATGAAGACGAAGAGTACAATCAAGAAATCGCGGTGCTGGAATTCTACACCCAGCGTTGCAGAGGTGAAGCTCTTGTTGTTCATGCTTCTGTGGATGGCCAGCTTGTGGAAGTCCTCATCTTCAGAGTTAAGTGATCGGTCGATTCGGTTAGTCGATTATTAATTGGTTTCCTAATTTCAATTTGTAAGCAATTTAATCAATTGCGTGCTGTTAATTATATATTCAGGGATTCTCGTCGTGCTTGAATTACGGGACGGCGGCGGACCCGTCGAAGAGCGTTATTCCGGCGAGGGCAGTGATTAAGTGGATAGACAGAATTAAGGGGCCATTTGATCCTTCCAATATTGAGTACTTGGAGAAAGAGATCAGTTGGGATTCATTCAAGGCACGCCTTGCCTCTTCCCCTGTTCAATAGTTGTGTAATTTCCGACCTCATATATTACTGTTTTCGTCACTTTCTAATTAACATAATAAAACCATTACAGTAAATTAACCACCGATCATGTGTTGATTGCACAAAATGGTAGGAATTTTTAGGCTTAATGATAAATTGATAATTAAAGGATGGGATGATTATATACCGGTGTGGTTAATGCTTCCAATCCAATCTGATTACCTTGATTGTGCCTACTCGGAGTGTAGATGGGCCAGATGACAAGCGAGGCCCAAAAAGAGTAGAGATTTTCAGCCCAAACTGGCAGCAGCCTTTAAAGCCCGGGCATGCTTGATCAGGCCAGCAGGGAATGCTCATATATTCGCTCATTAGCTGCCTACTGCGTAACAGTAGTTTGTCAACTCTCGATAGTCAACGGTAATGGCTGACGTAAGATGAGAAATAAAATAATTTCGATCAATATTTGTTACGCCAAAAATAATTGTGCGGACCATTTAGTTGTGTGCTTGTTGAGGGGAGTAGTTGGGATGTGTATAGTTAATTTCACCGAATGTCAACTAGCTAGGTTGGTGGGTTTAACGAGATAACCTTGAGAAATGAGAAGACTCTTTTATTTGACTGCGAGTCCTGTTTTGTAAAAGAATTTCTACTAGATTGAGAAAATTTGAAAATAATTCAGGGGTCTCGAAACCACGCATTAAAAATCTTTTTAATTTTCTATTGATCGTTTTGTTTTGACGAAAATTAATTTTCAAAAATTAATCATCATTGTTTAGTATATTGTATAGTCATTTGACCGTAAAACATAATGAAAAGGCTTCAGAGAATTCGAAGAATTTAATTCGGAGGTCTGAGATCATTCTGACCTTCCTTGGATTTACATACCGGCCGTCTATTTAGTGTTCCAAACTCAATAATGACAACTAAATACGAGGATCGCACTCAATAAATCCAAAACTACAAATTCAATAGTCTGAATCATTGCATAGAAATTAGAAGGCTATGGTTGATTTAGGTTTATGCGAGGCCCCCATAAAATACAAATACAATGTCATCATAGAAAGGACACAACAGACCAGAAGCTCGACGAGAACATCAACAGAACAAATTAAATACTAAACAGAGCACCCAGCCACCCAGAGACATAATCAAAAGAAGGGTAATCGAAAACAAGTTCAATAATGCAGAGAGAAGTAGGAAAATTTCACCGCCATTGGCGCACAGTGGTGGTCGGTTCTCTTGTAATTGGAATTCTCAACGTTGTAGAAGGAAATTTTTACTTTCACTGCCAGAGGCGGACAAATGCATCCCACAGAGCTCCGATGGCGAAAACTGCAGGCCGCACTCCGGGCCGGCGGCAGAGAATGGTCGAAGGAGCGTCAGTAGTCTTAATGACCGGCGACGCCTTTTGTACCGGAGGCGGCGGCAGGTTCTCGACGCGGAGGGCCAGCTTCATGCCACCAAAACAGAACCCTCTCCCGCTGACGAAGTAGTAGTCTCGCGTCACGTTGAGTGGAACCACATCTCTTCCAGCTCCTCTGGTCCAGTTCTTGAGCGGGTGGTCGGCATTGCAGCTCTCGTAGTCAGCCTTGTTCACCTCCAGCACGTTCATCTGGTTCCTGTCATACACAAAATCTGCGAAACACTCTCAATATTGTGGACTCATAGTTTCAGTGGAAAGATTAGAAGTAGAAGGAGGCGGAGAAGGAGGGACTAAATTACAGAGCCAGTCGCCATTGTAGAAGTGGAGATCCTGAGCCCAGAGAGTGTAGTTGACTTGAGTAGTCCACCCCATTTTCCCCACGAGCCATCTCTTAGCAGACACTTCCGGTACCACCGCCGCCATGGCGAATAACACCGCCGCCAATGTCAGCAGCCTCTTCTCCATTCCTTTTTCGCCGCCAATGGACGGGGAACAAAATTCTCAAGAAAGGGAGACCGAGGCTAGAAATATGCAGGGACGCATTTGTTATTGTAACTGCCGCTTTTAAAAGGAAGAAATGAGAGAGTCGTGGACTCTGTAACCTCTCTGCCTGCATCTACAACCGCCATATATTGAATGATGGACATATTTATGCGGTTAATTTACCATGAAGTGACATATAACAGATTGTTTAATGATATTGATAAGATATACAAGTGCATGCTATACATGATTACATGTGGATCAACACTTTAAATATTCACATTTATATCATTTTTTGCACCTAATCCACATAATTATCTTGAATCTTGCTCCTACAGACCATATGTATATAGAGACATAGATCTCTCATTTCTCTGAAGTATTGGGTTTATCATCAATCCTTCTCTCTTGTTTATCTAATTGAATCCCAAACCATGAAGTGCTCCAACATTCTCTTTGCTCGCATCTTTTGTCATCGGTAAATAGTACATACTTTTATTATGTATGCGGTTAGTTGTCCAACGGAAACTCATACTTACAGTACTGCACAATTTTTTTCTCGAAAATTTTGATATTAAGAGAAGACCTACAATCATCTTAGAAAATTGTTAGTTCGAAATTTGAAGTATCGATTGGGTAAGTTTAATTTCACCCAATTGTATACGTACATTCTCATATATGTATACATATTATATAGAGTAAGGATTATTTATTAGCCAGCTTGACTTTTTTCGGATTTTCTTCGGGTGCAATCCGAACCTTTTCCCGACAAGATATTGTCCGCTTTGGGCCTCTACACCCGCACGGATTTGCCTTGGTGTGCAATTCAAGGTGACTTCCCATAAGGTCGCTCATCCTTGTTGTACTCCACACTGAGCACGTTTAACTTCGGAGTTCTCACAAGAACTCCTCAATTTCACCCCAAAACGTGTCTTGTCAATTAAGGTCGGTGTCCTACTTATGAACCATGGATCTCTCCCGTGTTTTGTCGATGTGCGATTAGCCTAAGGTGTTACTGATAGCTTGATATGACATTATTGAATTTGTTTAATTGGTGGAAGTTGTTTTTGTTTTTTTCCCCGGGAATTTCTTTGTTTGTTTACCTGCCTGCCAACTCCAGCTATATGGGCCGGACAACAGTTGGGCCCAGAAGGAGTAGATAATCTTTTGGGCCCAAGCCCGTCGGAATAAGAGAGGCGCAGGCCTCATTATACTGGAAAAAATCCAAAAGTACCACTGTTTTAAAAAAAAATTCCAAAAATACCACCCAACCCCAAAAAATTCCAAAAAATACCACCCTTTTTCAAAAACTGCCACCCCACCCAGCGGTTTGGTCGAAAACCGCGTGTCGGGGGCGCGGTTTTGGACCAAACCGCGGGCCTAGGGGGCGGTTATAAAAAAAAAAAAAAATTGGACCAAAACGCTGGGTGGGGGGGCGGTTTGGCCCAAAACCGCCACCCCAACCAGCGGTTTGGTCCAAAATTTTTTTTCTTTTTTCGACCAACTCCCAACTTCGGTCGAAACTTCAAACGAACATAACTTTGCACTCGGGTATCCGATCGTAGCGATTTTTTTTCATTTCGCATAACTTTTCAAGATCTACAACTTTTACTAGGATGAAATTTTCAAAACAGGAACTATTTGTGGATATACGGGACCTTGAGAATAACTTTACCTTTACTTTTCAGAAATCCATGTACATTTGGAAATTATGATTATACTAAAAGTTGTAGATCTTGAAAAGTTATGCGGAATCAAAAAAAAATTCATGACATTCGGATTTTGGAGCACAAAGTTATGGCCGCCCAAATTTTGACGAAATAAAAAAAAAGGTTCGGGGTGGCAAATGACGTTTTTTCGAGACGAAGACGGAACCCGACTATTTGAGACTTGCAAGATCTCAAAAATTTATTCGGATTCAAAAAATGGAGGCCGCAAACTTTTTGAGATCTTGCAAGCCGCAAACCGCCGGGTCTCGCCTTTCGTCAAACTTTGGGCGGTCATAACTTTGTGCTCCAAACTCCGAATGTTATGAACGTTTTTTTGATTCCGCATAACTTTTCAAGACCTACAACTTTTAATATAATCATAATTTCAAAATGTACATGGATTTCTGAAAAGTAAAGGTAAAGTTATTCTCAAGGTCCCGTATATCCACAAATAGTTTCTGTTTTGAAAACTTCATCCTTGTAAAAGTTGTAGATCTTGAAAAGTTATGCGAAATGAAAAACAAATCGCTACGATCGGATACCCGAGTGCAAAGTTACGTTCGTTTGAAGTTTCGACCGAAGTTGGGAGTTGGTCAGGAAAAAAAAATTGGACCAAATCGCTGGTTGGGGTGGCGGTTTTGGGCCAAACCGCCCCCCACCCAGCGGTTTGGTCCAAATTTTTTTTTTTTTATAACCGCCCCCTATGCCCGCGGTTTGGTCCAAAATCGCGCCTCCGACAAGCGGTTTTCGACCAAACCGCTGGGTGGGGTGGCGGTTTTTGAAAAAGGGTGGTATTTTTGGAATTTTTTGGGGTTGAGTGGTATTTTTGGAATTTTTTTTTAGACAGTGGTACTTTTGGATTTTTTCCCATTATACTCGCCTCGTTAGACTCACCATGGCCTTTCCAAAACTCCAATTCAACTTGTTCCTCTCTAGGGATGGCAACAAAACCCGAACCCACGGGTGCCCACCCGACCCAACCCGGTCAACGCGGGTAAAATCCGTGTTGATGGGTTTTGGGCCGGGTTTGGGTTTAAATCCATTAACTATTCACCGGGTTGGGTTGGGTTTGGGTTTAGGTAAACCCGGCCCGTGGGTACCCGCCCACCCATATAATTAATTTTTTCAGTATATTTAATATTCTAAACAACTATTCTTATTTATGTTTGTGGAGACATGTCTAATTTTTTCTTTTTAATTGTGTAGAATGAAGTTGATGTTATGGAGTGGAGAGTAAAGAAACTTAATTGAAAGAAAGAAGCTTTCAATTAAACATGTTATTTATGGATAATTTGTGATTTGCTTCAATTTTCTTGCGTTTTCTAGATTGGTGTTGAACAATTTGTATAGTCAATTTGTGATTTGCTTGAATTTTCTAGAATGGTGTTTTATATATGGATAATTTGTATTGAGAGATTGATATTTGACTTTAATTTTGATAAGAACTTGTAATTGTAAATTTTTTACGACAAAATCCGTGGGTACCCATGAACCCGCGGATACCTAACGGGTTGGGTTTCAGTTTTTCAAACCCAGTGGGTTTTACCCCGGGTTTTTTTCAAAGATAAACCCATGGACGTTACAGCTGCCGAAATATCAAAAGCAGACAAAGGACATTGAAGGGTCCCCCCCCCCCCCACTGATCACCCCGAGGCCCGAGGGAAGCCAGGAGTCTCCATGACAAACTGGGAGATGCTGCCATCGGAAAGGCTTTCCTTCTCCAAGGCGGCGCGCGGGGACTGAAGTAGGTGCATTTTTTGATGTTCATGACCAAGAAGGAAGCCATCCGGGAGGCATCCACCTCGAGATGACTGGTGCCCAAAATGTAACAGAGTGGATTAATGGAGGATCTTGCACGGAAACTTCATACGATTTCAGTTCTCGTTACCGTACCCATCAATATGACCCTAGGCTGAATGCTTCTCAGTCTCTCGAGCTCCGCTTTTATTGTAGCAGAGCAACTCAAACAGAGGAGGTTTCGAGGATGAAGCCACCACGATAGCAATTGACCATCCTTGATAAATATGGAGATAGTTAGCCACATTGTTCACAACGAGATTTATCTTTGATTATCACTCTATAAGTTAATCTTTGTATATCATTCTCCTTGATTATTATTTTTCTTTACATTTATAGTGTTTACCCTATACTTAAATTGTCTCAAGTATTTTTAAGAAATAGCTTCACTTCTGCTTCTGCCTCTGTTCGAGGTTGAAGAAAAGTTTATTGAATTTGTTTCACAGTCGAAGAATCTGATTTTTTTCAAGAATTGTAAAATCTTGTTGAAAGTTATTACTAGTACAATACGATTTCGAAAACACAGGATTTTGCCGAAACAGAAGGCAACCTGAGCATTGAACCCCGGATGGACTGCTAGGTCTGCTCTGTAGAAAGCTCATTGATTTCTTAGCGGACCCCGTTTAGCTGTTATCAGACCCAGACCCAATCGGGCCGGACCTGACTAGGGTATTATATGAATGGTTTCGACAAATGATTTAGTTCATAACAACTAACCATTAAACGGTAAGCCATTAATTTATTGGTTTGATTATCCGGTCCGGTTCAACAACACAATCATAGAAAACTCAGCAAACAATTTTTCAACTTTTAGTAGTCTATGGTAAAGTAATATATGTTAGGAAATAAAATAATGGGAGGAATATCTGTTACAATATATGATTCTATAGGAATAATTTGTCAACACAAGTTAGTGCTTTCATGGGGAAATTGTGGGGACGTGTATCGTTTTCATAAGGATGCCCCAGAAATGGAAGTCAATCTTATCTTTAATCACCGCCCATGATAATTGCTAGCTATCCAATATGTGAACCCCATCGCTCCATAATCCTTCCCGAAGGCGGAGACCCTACACCAGATGTGAAGGTAGTGATGGCAATTTCAACCCGCCCCACGGGTATTACCCGACCTGACCCGCGATGGGGCGGGTATTACCCGACCCGCAGTAGCGTGGGGCGGGGCATGGGTATCTACTTCCGACCCGCCCTGCCCCGCCCCGCCCCGTGCTAGACTCATTTTATCTCAATTTTTTACAATTTCTATACATATTTCTCCTATTTTGACTTTTCTTCAACTAGTTAGAGTCGCTCTTTCAACTTGTTAGACTCAATTACCCATTCTATTATCACTATTTTTCATTCTTAAAGTGTTTTTCCCTTCATTTTATCGCAAAAAGTAAAATTTAATCGTATTTTTTTGGAATAACATGTAAGAGTGGGTCGACCCGTCCCGCCCCGTACCCGCGCGGGTTTTACCCGCCCCGCCCCATAGTAGCGTGGGGCGGGGCATGGGAATTGAGGTACCCGCCCCGCCCCGCCCCATTGCCATCACTACGTGAAGGAAGCTAACCATAATCCAACAGGGATCAATAATGGAGACAGGAAGAAATACAGAATCTTCCAGTTGGCAATATTGGTGTACTGTATTTGGTCTGATAGCGACTACCCATGTTCCAGATTTTGTGCTGTAATTGCCAACCAAACATTCCTTTATTGGTATGAAAAGCAAAAATGTTAGCTTGAGGAGACTTTTGATGTTGGTGAGTCTTGTTTTGTAAAGAATGTGAACTAGCTTGACCAAATTTGAAAGGGTGTCCGGTGCCTTAAAGTCATGGTTAAACGAAATTCAGAGCCTGTCATCGTCTTGACAGCAATTTTGCATGTTAAGGATCGCTCTTTGATACTAGGTCAAAGGCTTGATGTCGAAGAAAAGAACATAGTATCAGCAGCTTTGAATGGGACACAGATTCAGCTAAAACTACTCTGATCCCTTCACTATAGTCACACCCATGATCATTCATGAACCTCCATTGCAAGCAAATTTCAGACACATCACCATAATCAACAAGAACCCTACTACAACGGCAAATCAATGTTGATACCTCAATGGCCAAACCAGATTTGCCCTGTATTCAAGTGACAACCCAACAATTGTTCACAAACACCAGATCATTAGCACGGTGAAGTCAATTAATCCACAACTCTCATACAAAACACACAGCAGAGCAGAAAGCTCAACTAGAACATCAACAAAACAGATCCTGCCTTTCAAGTCAGTGTACACCATAAATAAACACTAGACACAGCATCACCCAGATAAGTAACAAAAAGAAGGTTGAAGTAAACAAATTAAATAATGCAGAGGGAAGTGCTCAAATTTCACCACCAATGCCATTTCATCAGTGATGGTGGTGGTGGTTGTGTTGTTACATCCTCAATGTAGGTACTGCTAAGAAAGAAGAATAAATTTACTTCACTACCAGAAGTGGACAAAAGCATCCCACATTGCTCCAATGGCGAAAACTGCAGGCAGGACATAGGGCCGGTTGAGAATGGAGGAAGGAGCACCACTCTTGACGGGTGAAGCCTTTGGTGGAGGAGGCATGTTCTCGACACGAACGGCAAGCTTCATGCCTCCATAGCAGAACCCTTTCCCGCTGATGAAGTAGAAGTGTCGAGTCACGTTGAGTGGAACCACATCTCTTCCAGCACCTCTGGTCCAGTTCTTGAGTGGGTGGTCGGCATTGCAGCTCTCATAGTCAGTCTTGTTCACCTCCAGCACGTTCATCTGGTTCCTGTCGTACACGAAAACTGCAAAACCAAGCACAAAAGAGTCTTAATTGAAGACTCAATTTTCCAATTGAAAGACCAAGGAATAGGAAAGACGTGTTTTTTGTCCACTATTCATGGTGCACAAGGGAAGAATTAGTTAGAAATAGTAGCAAAACAACCCACAAGAAAACCCTCTGATGGCAACAGCTAAGGGTATAAATCCGAATTACTTTGATCCTATGGATTCGTCAGAGTATTTACGAGACCGGGCAGCTATGTCTCAGGCTCCCAAACGGGTACCAAGACATTGCTGTTTATGGGGGAGTTGCAGATCTGAAATTTGGCCAAGTAAGTGGAAAAAGTTCTTGATTTGAAATTTTTTGAAATGGAAATACCATGAATACTGAAAAAGCCCTCAACTTTAATTTCCAATTCACCATTCCCAGATCTGTAAATGCGAATTCCCGAAATGGGCAACAATCTTTTAGCAGAAAGTATGCAGCAGAGTCTTTGGACTGGCTTTACGGAAGGTCAAGTAATAACGATCTGATGTTCAATTAACGAGAATAAGAAATTAGAACCAGAAGGAGAAGGTTTAGAAAGAGGGGGACTTACAGAGCCAGTCGCCATTGTAGAACGTGATATTCTGAGCCCAGATAGTGTAGTTGACATTGGTAGTCCACCCCATTTTGGATCCAACAGTCCATCTCGTAGCAGAAACTTCCGGCACCACCGCGACCATGGCGAATAGCACCGCCGCCAATGTCAGCAGCCTCTTCTCCATTGCTGTTCTTGCCTTCCTCTCGCTACTGTCTGACTTGGGAACGCTCTGATCTGGGCAGAGGACAAAGGATATGAGTAGACACTAGAAATATCGGGAGACGCGGTTGTAACTGCTGCTTAAAAAAGGAGAAAGGAAAAGCCGAGAAAGGAGAGAGTTTGTCCACTCTGTCCTCTGGTCTGTCTGGATCTACAACGCCGTAAAAGGAAGCAAAAGGATTATTATGAACGTTGTCTTTGCCGTTAAGTTAAACAGAAATGACAAACCTAGTCAAAGCAGGCCTGTCATGACAGAGACGACGACGGTGGTTAAGTAATATCGGTGTAAAATATCAATTTGGTCATCGAACTAATGATATGTGTTCTATCATCATAGGTGAGTAGTGAGTTGATTTTTGAAGCAGAGAAAGTACTCACTCGATCAATATAACAATCTTTACTTCAAATGACTCATTGTTTCTTGGTTGATATGATAATTACTACGAATTTATGAGAAGCGTAATTACTGCTTTAGAAAGATAATGCATCTTGTACTAGAGAAAATTCGCAATCACCTTCTCTTACATTTCCTGGGTTGACAAATAATCGGTAACTACTAATAAATAATCTTAGGATCTACATTTATATCATGGAACATCATAATCATCTAGTATATTCTTCTTCTTTTTTTATAGATTTTCTCTTTGACTATCTAAGAAAATGTCATTGAATCGAAAAAATGCAATTGTTTATCACTTCCCGGTTTAAGATATCATATGGGGAATCAAGTTTTTTCTTACCGTATTGATATAAGGTTACAAAATGTTGACCAACGATGATTCATTCGAGATACTGTGATGTTTTAGGAGTTCACCACCACCAACAAAACTTAAGCTCCTTATGTGATACTTGCTTACGAGTTCAGTGACCAGATCAGCATTTTTCCTCCTCTCTAGTCTCTACCAGCACACCATCGATTTGTCACGGTAAACGCGGCTCCAATCATGGCGTATCCCCTTCTTCCCCTCCCTACTCTGTGCTGTAAAACTTATAAGACCTTCTGTCGGGTTGAAAACTGAGAAAGTCAATCATCATTCATTCCACTTTCAAATGTCGGATGCAGAGTTGACTACTGCTAGTTTTTGGTTCATCCTCACGCATCCAACTGATACAAGGCATATTGATCCCAATTAATATCTCAAATGACAAAAAGGGGAAAGAAAGAGTCTCATCTATCGAATACCATTCATGAAATAATCTTCATTGCATCCTCACACATACTGATCAATCGAAAATCAAAGGAGTAAAGAGGAAAGAAGAATCTCGTCTATTGAATATCATTTATGAAAACCAATATCTGCATTTTCATAGCATATAGGGTTTGTTCCCAATTTCCAGATCCAGTAATTCCTGCTCGTTCAATCTTTACATTGGAATTCTATCAAATCTCTCCTACCGTACAAAACATTCAGAAACGAACTCGGTTCCACATCCTAATCCAACCTTCTCAACAAGTACTCAACTTGGACTTCCTTTGTGAGTGGCATGATCCATCTCCCATAGAGATCAGCAACCAAGTGTGGCTCAATCTTGTATACTGTTTCAGATTCAACTTTGCCTTCTTTCATTGTCACTTCTAGAGCAAAGGTCCTGGCTTTCATCTCGACTCTCTCTTTTACTCTCTCCTCCACTTCTGGGTATGTCAACAAAGCCATCAATCCTTCCCTGTCCTGCAAAGTTTCAGAAATCCATCCAAAGGCCAACATAGTAAGTATTCAGAGAAAAAAGTATCAGGGAACAAAACACCACGGTTAAGGACCTACTTGCGCTTCAATAGCAGTTTTATATTCACTTGGGTTTGCTCGAAATTTGGACTCGGCTACAAATTTCCCATAATGAATTCTTTTAGAAAGAGCCTGCAACGTGAAAACCATATCATGTGAATCCACCATCCAGGTGTTCAAGGATAATGCAGGTACAGAACGAGGTAAACTGCAGAGCAACAATACTTATAGCATTTCAAAGAGTACAGATTTTGGAGCCGGCTGCATAGTGCTCCAACAAGACCACAAAATGATCCTATGTTTAAAGATCCGTAGTACCTCAGTGATATTGCATGGTTTCATGAAAGAGTAAATTATGATTACAATGTCGTCATCAAACTATACATTTGCATCACAATTACATCACTGGTTCCGTTAACTCCTATACCAAACAACCACTTTTCATTGCAAAAATACCACTCTTCTTCCAATTCTAGTATTCCAATGATACTGCATGGTTTCATGAAAGAGGAGTAAATTACATGATTACAGTGGGTCATCGAACTATACATTTGCCTCACAGTTACATCACAGGTTACCTTAATTCCTATACCAAACAACCACTTTTCATTTCTAAAGTACAACTCTTCTTCAAATTCTAATATTCTAATACCAACAAAGCAGTAGGAAGTCTAGCTCAATCAGAGTCTTCTTGGCAACAAGACAAGAAGGGTCGATTTAGAAACCTGGTGTGCTCAAGTTCTAAAGACCTCACACCAGATCAGGTACTGCCTCATAATGTTAGGCAAAACATTTTCACTATCATGACAGTACTACTATCGTGCAAATGATGACAGACATCACTGTCAGTCAACAAACAGAAAATGTTTGGAAGAGGAAGTGATTTTTCCCCACGGCATTAGCTGGCTATGGCTACTCTAAAACTGTGTCTATGGCTTTCCACCTTGATAAATGCTTTCTCAAGTTTCTCGTTTCCCTGTAATAACTATCCAATTACGTTCTCACGGGACATATTTTTGTACAAATCTCAGATTTCCACAAAAGAGAAGTCATCTACAAGTTCAAGTTCAATGTGTCCGAAACCGGGAAGGCAGACAATAAGAAAAACGCACACCTGGAGGCAGATTGTGTCACATACTGCTGAAGATCCACAATTTCCATCATTTCCTAGCTTCACCAATCTTGGAAGTAGATCTTTAAAGTACATGTCCCACACTGTGTTGTTAATATTAATTGATTCAGCAACTTTATGTAATACCTGTTTGAAAAGGTCAAAACTAACTCAAATAGATCCTCAGCAATTTATAGAGATACCAGAGACCAAGCTACTTGCATCTTAGGATAGAAATGAACAAAGACAAAAAATTCCCCAAACTGAACTTCGAGCACTTGTTCATGAGAGTAGCAAACAGCAAAGCTCCTAATATTATTGTCAATATAAACTCCAAAATGGAAAACAAATGATAGTTCTAATGAGACAGAAGGCACTCACGACTTCATATATCATACTGTACCTTGGGGTATTGCATTGGTGGCAATAATGGTTCGGGTAAATCATTGGGGAAGAAAGGATATTCGTCGGGACTTTTGTATCTACCAACCTGTTTTCCAAAATAGTGAAAACAGCACATCTTACACACTTGATGTATTCATTTCATTCCAAGGTTAACAGTTTAGTAAAAAAAATGTACCTTGGCATGAAGCTTTTCAGTTTCTTTAAGGATGTATTCAACTAGAGAACCATGAAAATCATTCATGGAAAAAACATCGGGATTATAGGTATCCGCATTGTAACAGTATTGGGATCTCTCCAAAAGGTTGTATATTATACTGTCTTCTTGCCGAATCAGGGAAAGCCTTACGCTTTCTAGTGTCAGAGTGTCACTTTCGTCCACCCTTTCCTTCTTCTCCAAACTACAAAGAAAGAACCCTCATATCACCAATAGGTTATGGAATCTAACCATAACCCATGACCCTTTGAAACAAGAAGCAAAATAGCAAAGCAGTAGAAAGATATTTGGGAATTTTGGACCCAAGATTTATTCAGATCAAGCCGTGATAAATAAATGGTATCTCTAAAGAGTCAATTGTGCATACTATGACAATCTCCTTTGTGAAGCATGAAGCTCACTTTTAATTACCAATCATAGCTGACTGCTGACGGCACAAAACAGACCGCAGACCCAAATGGACACCCCAAAATCTTCCACCAAACACACACACATATATATAGCTGGAATCAGAAAACCACTGGAAAAGGGCAATCGGCACTCTATCAGTCAAAAATTCAATAGCAAACAAGAGTCGGATTGAGCGCCTCCATCTAACTTTTTCTCCATATACGGCACCAAACTCATGAAATCAACGTGCATTGCACAAAGAAGCAAACTTTTTCAGTTCAGGCCTAGTCTAACTGTCAACGGTAGCAACCAATATTGGGGAAGAGATCAAGGCTGACATACCCAGCTGAGGAGTTGGCACATAAAATGCGATGTTTGGCAGGACTTGATGAGGAAACTGAAACCCTTCGTGTACCAAGAGAGAGACGGCGGCAAAGTGGGCTGGAAAACTTGAAGGCATCTGTAGTCGGAGGAGCTGCAATTGCAGGCGGAAAGCAAGCTCTGGTCAGAAGCTTGGCCTCCATCTCAGTCTTGGAGGAAGGAGAGATCGAGGGAGGAAGGAATGCAAACTTGGGCGCGAGAGAAGTGATGGGTTTCTTTGGCCTTTTTCCCGGTGAGATGGGATTTTCAGGGCTGGCTTGTGATTGGAGTTGGTGGCTGAGCGGGAAGGAGGGAGACGAGAGGAGAGGGGTTAGGTGAAGTAGGTGATGACCGCAGATATTGATGCGAAAGAAAGGGGACAAGGAACGAGAGACGAGACTGAAGAAGGGATCCGTCGGGCAGCACCGCGCGTCCACTAAGGGGTCGTTTGGAAGTTGCGATTGTTAAATAGATGTATTGTTGAGAATGCATGTATAATATTATACATGTATTGTCAAATTTTATGCATTGTAGAATACATCTTTTGGTATGTGTGATTGTGTATGTCGCATCAGCTAAAAGATTAGACAAAACAATCTCAACTCAACTATCTCAACAATCACAACTAAAAGTTGAGATATAACAATCACTCAAAATGAGTCATAGTTTCTGTTACATCACAGAAACAATTCATGTATTGTTTCTGCTAAAAAAACAAAAAAACGATGCATTGTAAACAATACATGCATAATGACAATCTCAACAAAACTATCGCAACTTCCAAACGATCCCTAACATTCGCGCTGTCTGCGATTTTATTGGTCAAGTCCTTTTCTACCCGAAAGAGAAAACATAATTTCGGGTTAATTGTACGGTTGGTCACTGAGATTACAAAAAACGTTCATGTTTGGTCACTGGAAATATTTAAATCTAACCTTGGTCACTCAAATTAGTTAAATGGTTCAAATTTGGTCACTCTCCGTCCAACTCTGTTAAATTTGTCTGATGTGGCAGTCAACTCTCAAAGTTGATCGTTAACTCGGTGACGTGACAATTAAAAAATAATAAATAAAATAAATTTTAATCTTCTACCATTTCCAAACAATAAAGTAAAAAAAAATGGAAGTAGCTTTCAACACCATTCCCGGCTTCGACCACTCCTTCCTCGACGTCATCCACGAGCTCATCGAAGAAACCACCACCGAGAAGTCCGCCAGCGCCGGCCACCACCCTTTCGACACGTACCTCCGCGAAGCGCGTGCGATGGCCGCCACCCCCGCCGACGTGAAGGAGCTCCCGGAGGCGTACGTGTTCGTTTTGGACATGCCGTGGCTTTCGGCCGACCAGGTGAGAGTCGACGTGGAGGAGGACGGGAGGACGCTGGTGGTGAGCGGGGAGAGGAAGAGGGAGAAGGAGAGGGACCAAGGGATACGGTACGTGTGGATGGAGAGGCGGCTGGGGAAGTATCTGAAGAGGTTTCCGATGCCGGAGAACGCTAACGTGGAGAAGGTGGCGGCGAGGTATAAGGACGGGGTGCTGACGGTTACGGTGGTGAAGAAGCCACCGGAGGAGCCCAAGAAGCCCAAGACCGTTGAAGTTCAAGTCGCGTGATGGTGGTGGTGTTGGATGTGTACATTATGGTGCAGTTTGGTGTTGTCGACGTTCTTTTCTCCGATCAGAACAAGAGCCCCCAAAATTCATCAACAAAATTACCTGCCGAGAGTCGAATGGTTCTGTTCGGGTCCCAGCTCAAGATCCAGATCCTTTCTTCCTTGCTCTCCCTCCCGCCTTCTTCCCTAGCAGCAGGGTCTTCCCCCAGATCTCCGGCCGATTTCGGGATCAAGACGAGGAACTCTCAATTGGGCAGCTCTTTCTCCTCCTCCGGTCTATCCCCATCCCCCGTACTGAAATCCACGACGTTCGGGTCGGACAATTCGGGTCTGGACGCCTCGAACTCGTCGTCGCAGCGGGTCTTCACCGCTGGCGAAATGGAGCTTTCCGAGGACTATACCTGCGTCATCTCCCACGGCCCCATCCCGAAAACCACTCACATGTTCGACAATTGCATCGTAGACGCCTGCTGCGGCGTGTTTACCCTCGATCCCTCGGTCAAAGAAGTGTCCGACGATTTCTACCCTTCTTAGAGCGTGATTATAATAATTTTTTTATTTATTTTATTTTATTTTATTGTTTGGAAATGATAGAAGATTAAAATTTATTTTATTTATAATTTTTTAATTGCCACGTCACCGAGTTAACGGTCAACTTTGAGGGTTGACTGCCACATCAGACAAATTTAACAGAGTTGGACGGAGAGTGACCAAATTTGAACCATTTAACTAATTTGAGTGACCAAGGTTGGATTTAAATATTTTCAGTGACCAAACATGAACGTTTTTTGTAATCTCAGTGACCAACCATACAATTAACCCACATAATTTCTATAAAAAAAAAGAGAAAAACAGAATCATAAGAAACTCTCATCATAGTTTTGAGTAGTTGTCACACAATTTGTCAATTAGTACAAAATGGTTACTAAACTTTATTTTTGCACGTTTTAGTAAAATATCTTTGAACGAATACCAAATCGGTTATTCCGTCTAATTCCATTCAAAAAAACCGTCAATTAAGTCCAGTCAATCAACTATAACTGACAGAATCTCTAATGGTGTTAAAGTTTTTAACAAAAGTGGCTAAATTAGTAAATTTGTCAAACATGCTTCTAAAATATGAACATTTTGTGTATTTCTGAGAAATTGGCTATTATTATTACAAAGTCCATAATTATGACTATGCAAGTGAATTTTACCTAGAAACAATAAGAAGATAAATAAAAAACACACACAAAAATATTTCAACAGGTTACAAAAAATTCTTAACATACAAAAATTTAAAAAAGAAAAATACCTATCCAAAGTAGGAATGACAATGGAGCAGGTCGGGTCCAGGTCCAGGTCTGATAATTTATCATGGGTCGCGGCGGATCGGGGCAGGTCGACTCAATGGGTACACAATTTATGTAACATCCCGTTCCCTTTAGTGCGTTACAAGTTATGGTTATATCACTAGTGACTTTATTATAATATTTTGATCGATTCTAAAAATTAGGAATTGATTTCAATATAACTTAAATTATGGTTATGGATGAGTCTAGTTAAGTTGAGCTGATGGTTAGATCAGTAAGATCACTTAACCTAGAAACCTTGGTAAGACCCACCCATGGTTAGACTTAAGTTAGAAGGTTTAGTGGATGGGATTTTGATTGGGCCAAGTGGTCATTTAGGATTGAAGGAAGAGGAAGGAAGGACGGGGAAATTTCTAGAGGATGGGGAAGGCAGATTTTTCTGTGACTTCTCCCCATTCCTTTGCTTTTCTTCCCCTTCATCCTCCCACGTCCACTATCTCTCCACTTTCCACCCAAATTTCCAGCAAGATAGAGAAGCAAAAAGTAATAAATCAAGAGAAGTAGAGGTAGGAAGCTAAAACAGGAAGAGCATCAATGAGGGTTACAAGAGCATCAATGAGGGGTGTTTACCAACCACCCCTCCCAGCAGTTGTGGTTTTCAGGGTGTTCCGAGCCGAGCTAGTGGCCGGATCTCTATTTTACTGGTCTGACCGAACAGCTCGGCTCGGTCTTGATAACCCTTGACCTCCCATCCAGAAAACAACACAATTACCACTATGCTGCTTATATTAACATATCAACTCTTGTAGATGTCTTGTCTTATTATGTTCCCGAAATTCCCCGGCCGCTGTGCTGGTCCCTGATGTAGCAGGTACCAAATTTTGTATCATCCCTACTTATTGTTGTAGGGTTGTAAATAAGGCCGATTTAGGTTGAGTTTGACTCGTTAATAAATGAGTCGAGTTAGAATTCGGCTTGCATACAAAATTTTTGGCTTGTGTTTGATTCGAGTTGGGCTCATTAATGAGCTCACAAGCTTGGCTCATCTATTAGTTTGTAAAGTAAGCTCGAGCTCAAATATCATATCATTTAGTTCATAAATTTTATTTTTTCATATCGTGTTATTTAATAGTAATTAATATACGAGAAATTTATGATACATAATTTCTCTTTTATATTATAAATATAAATGAGATATATTTGAGCATGGGCTCGAATTCCTAATCATCATTATTTTGTGAGATATATAATCTAACAAACATATGAACTATCAACAAGCCATAATAAGCTATTAATCGATTCGCTCATAAGTTGTTGGTTGAAGTGGCTCGCTAGCCACATTGTCGAGTCAGCTTATAAGCTCAAAACAAGCTAACTCGCAAGTTAAGTTTGACAAGCCACCGAATCAAGTTGGCTCATGAGCCTTGCGAGACGAATACAAATTAGCTCAAACCGAGTATCAAACGAGATTTTTTCGAACCGAACATCGAGCCGCTAACCAACAGTTTGGCTCATTTGCGGCATGTTGCTTTGCATTTTACTTACCTCGTTCTATACTTGCATTCTTCTTGAACATATTTCCTGGTGGATTCATATGACATTGAGTTTTCACATTGCAGGCGCTTCCTAAAAGAATTCATTATGGAAAATTTGTAGCCGAGTCTAAATTTCGGACACGCCCAAGTGACTACAAAACTGTTATAAAAGCGCAAGTAGGTTTTCAAAACCATACACTAGTACAGTACACTATCTCGCAATAATTTTCTCTTGATACTTGATATGTTGAACTTTGGATGAACTTCTGAAACTCTGCAGGCAGGAGAAGGATTGATTGTATTTTGACCAAGGGTTAATATCTTATTTTGGCCCGAACTATGACCATATAATTAATTTTGGCTTGTGGTTTCAGAAATTAACATCCTGGCTTCAACTATGCAGCATATAGACTCAATTGGCCCGACACATAGTTTGACCGTCAATTTGGCTGGTCAACTCCGCGACCGTTAGTCAACACGCCATGTCATTGCCTAGTCAGCCTAAAAGTTATTAAAAAAATTATTTATTATCAAATTAACCAAAAATAAATTATAAAAAAACATAAAATATTTTTATTTTATTTTTGGATAATTTGAAAATGATAAATTTTATGAATTAACCAAATCAAATTATTTTATATTTTTAAAACTTCCCAAAAAAATATAATTTATATCATAATTTTTAATTTTATAAAATTTAATTTGATAATTTTTGTTAATTAATAAAATTTATCATTTTCAAATATCCCAAAAAATTATTTATATTTTTAGAATTTTATTTTTTGGTTAATTGGAAAATGATAAATAATAGAAATTAGGAAAATAATTTGAATTTGAATTTTTTTAATGATTTTTATGCTTACTAGTAGGGGTGTGCAATGGTCCGGTCCTTGGTGCTCATGATTTTTATAATTACTGAAGAAATGGTGGACCGAGCTCATATTTGGACCGGACTGAACCGGACCAAATGGACCAAATGCAAGAATGGTCCGGTCCTTGGTCCTAACATGTCTTTCACTAATGGACCGCGGTTCTCATGAGTTTGGTCCGGACCGAACCGAACCGTTGCACACCCCTACTTACTAGGCAATGACATGGCATGTTGACTAACGGTCAACGGAGTTGACCGTCCAAATTGACGGTCAAACTATGTGTCAGGCCAATTGAGTCTATATGCTGCATAGTTGAGGCCAGAATATTAATTTCTGAAACCAAGGGACAAAATTGATTATATGATTATAGTTCGGACCAAAATAAGGTATTAACCCTTTGACCAAATACAAACAATTAACCCTACTTATTCGTCTCATGTCACGATGGTTGTCAAACCGGTCTCATGTCGGCCGGTTCAACCGGTACCGGTCACCAAACCGGCTGGAAGAGTCCGGTATTTAACTGTGGTCAAATCCGGTCAATGCCGGCCAGACCCGGTCAATTCCGAAAATTCCAGCCGGTTAGACCAAAAACTGCAATTCAATGTTACACATATTTTATCCAAAAATAAACACCCTCCTTAGGATTTGAACCAAGTATCTCATGTTCATTTTAGACTCTCTTATAGACCAATAGACTATAAGCAACTTTGTTTTGTATATTAACCTTATATATTATATATTATATATCTAACACTAAATTTTACATAAATCATTATAAACATTAATAAAATTCATTTTATATACTTTTATTTTTAAGCATCTAATTGTTTAGTATTGGTTACCAATTCTTAGCTATAAATTATTTTGTGTGAAATAATTTTTCTAATTGCTTTTTGATGACTAATTTATTTGAAATTGAGGATTTCCATTTGTCTCATATATTTTATTAAAACCGACACAACTGGCGTAAATACTGGTTGTATCACGATCGGACCATTCCACTTATAAAACCGGCACACCGGCATAAACCGGTTTGACAACCTTGCATGTCACACACTAAGGCCCAAGTTCAAGCTCCTCTGTAATTGGAGTGGACTTTTACATCAACATGGTGCCATGGCCCAAAGCCCAATTGACCCAAAACAGGCGCTAACGACAACTTTGTTTGAACTCATTGTTCGCGGACCTCATTCTTCGGCGGAAGCAAGCCGTCATCTCTCTAATCTCCGGCGATGCAATTGCGACCAGCCATCTATGGCTAACTGCGGTGCCCAAATATCGACCCCAATTAGAGTTCCGGCATGGGTCTCAACGAGAAGACTGTTCGAGCAAAAGTTGCAGGAGCTTCACAAATGTACAGACTTAGCCCACGTAAAGGAGGTTCATGCCCAGATAATCAAGCAAAATCTCCACACAGACCTCTACGTAGCTCCAAAACTGATATCGGCATTCTCGCTTTGTCATCACATGAAGCTCGCTCTCAACGTCTTCAACCAAGTTCCGCACCCCAATTTGCAACTCTACAACACTCTGATTCGAGCTCATGTCCGCAGCTCCCAACCTTCCATGGCGTTCGCTGCTCTGCTCGAGATGCAGCAAAATGGAATCTTTCCTGATAATTTCACTTACCCTTTTCTTCTGAAAGCTTGTAATGGAGAGCCCTGGTTGCCGGTTGTGCAGATGATACACGGCAGTTTGGAGAAGGTTGACTTTTTCGGTGATATTTTCGTGCCCAATTCGTTGATTGATAGCTACTCCAAGTGTGGTGCTTTGGGAATTCAGTCTGCGATGAGACTGTTTAGGAGTATGGACAGCAGAGATGTCGTTTCTTGGAATTCTATGATTGGTGGGCTGGTGAGAGCAGGGGATCTGGGTGGTGCACGTGAGCTGTTCGATGAAATGCCTGTAAGAGATGCGATTAGTTGGAACACGATACTAGATGCATATGTGAAGGCCGGAAAGATGGACGAAGCATTTGAGTTGTTTGAGAAAATGCCTGAGAGGAATGTTGTGTCATGGTCCACGATGGTCTCAGGTTACAGTAAAGCAGGGGATATGCAAATGGCTAGAATGCTGTTTGATAAAATGCCAACCAAGAATATGGTTTCTTGGACTATTCTCATATCTGGATATGCCCAAAAGGGGCTGGCGCAGGATGCGGTAAGTTTGTATTCTCTAATGGAGAAATCTCGACTTATGCTTGATTCGGGTGCTGCTGTTAGCATACTGGCTGCCTGTGCAGAGTCTGGTTTGCTTGGACTGGGGGAACGAGTTCATGCCTCGATTGCAAGGACTAGATTAATGCACCATGCTGATGTGTCTAATGCATTGCTTGATATGTATGCAAAATGTGGGAGATTAAAGAAGGCGTATGAAGTGTTTGAGCGAATGGCAGAGAGAGATGTAGTTTCTTGGAACTGCATGCTTCAAGGGCTAGCCATACACGGGCATGGAGATGAAGCACTCAAGCTCTTCTCCAGAATGAAACAACAGGGTTTCAAGCCCGATAAATTCACTCTAGTGGCAGTTCTGTGTGCTTGTACTCACTCCGGCTTCATCGACGAGGGCCTCAGGTACTTCAACAACATGGAGAAGGAATATAGGATTGCTCCCGACATCGAGCATTACGGCTGCGTGATTGACTTGTTGGGCCGTGCTGGACGTCTCAACGAAGCAATTAGGCTCGTGGATTCCATGCCGATGGGACCAAATGCTGTCATCTGGGGTACCCTTCTGGGGGCCTGCAGAATGCACAATGCTGCTGAACTTGCTAAGCAGGTTCAAGATCACATGGCGAGATTCGAGGAGGCATCAGAGCACGGTACTTGTTCGGTGCTGTCGAATATTTATGCAGCTGCTGGGGACTGGGTGAATGTTGCTAATGTGAGGCTCCAAATGAAGAGTGCTGGAATCCAGAAGCCGTCTGGTGCCAGTTTCATTGAGGTGGGTGATAAAGTCCATGAATTCACTGTATTGGATATGTCCCATCCTGACTCTGGTGAAGTGTATGAGATGGTTGATGGATTGGTTCAGGAACTTAGACTGTTTGGTGATCCCTCAAATGATCACCACCACACTTACTGAATATACCCCATACTCTCATTCAACTTTTGGCATTCTTGTGTGTTCTCTGTAAATATTTATAGACAACTAATGAAGTTGATAAGGGAAGCTCCCTCTTTAACCAACATAAACTTAGCAAATCAAAAGGTGAAAAATATACTGTAAAAGAAGTAAAAAAAAAAATGTAAATTTTCAGTTGTTTGAACATCGCGCTAAGATGATGGAAAGATTAGTTTGATATTTGTATAACTTTTTTTCAAAAAATATCTTGATCAAGATGAAAAGTTCAACACATAGTTATATCATTTCAAAACTCTACTCTTGTAATGTTGAATGTTGATATATGTGAACAATTTGGCTAATGTGGATAAAAGAGTGGTCAAGTTAAGCTTCTTTATAAGTTATAACCCTTCTTAACAATAAAACTAAAGATAACTACAATGTCTAGATAAAACTAACTATATGTATTTTCAGATGAACTTCGTCTAAATGTCAAAGTACTTACTCTGCGCTATCTTCTCTTTCTATCCTATCACATTTATTGAGTTGAGATTTTTTCAAGAAAGGTATAATCAATGTTGGAATTGCAGCCTTTCCCTCCTAATCCCTCCCCTTTCAAACCAATTCTCTCGAGGTCGGACTATCGCCACCAGCAAGAAAGTCATTCTCTTAACGACATTGATGCCTCTACATGTAGACAATAGTACTCATACCCAAAATGGTAACGTGCTCTAGAGAAATAAGAACAGTCTTTAACTTCTGCACTTTCCTAGGCTGGCACATATGGGATTTGGTGGATAATTGCGGTTGGTGTGTGGTAGAGATGGTGATAGAGGTTTATTTGGGGTAGCTCAAATAATTGGATGAATTGGGATGCCATTATTTCTGGCTAGTTGTTTGCTGACCAGTTTAGTTTAGTAGGCATATGTCCCTATCCAAGAAAGGTAAATAATTTCCTCCACATAATTGTGATGCACTGTTCACTTAGCCGCAAAAGAGGAAGAAAATTAAGGGTAAGAACAGTAGAACAAAGAAAAGGATGGGAGAAGACCAGACCAAAATTTATGCAAATCAACATTCTTCTTTGGTTTACGTGTCAAAATCAATGTTATTAATGGTAATGACACTGTTATCTAGTTTTCCTTGTTTAAGAAAGATATGGTATGTAGTTTTCGGTAATGTTTGGGTCATTATACGGAGTGGGTTAAGGTGTGCCAACCTTAAGAGGAGTGGTCACTCACTGCGACGACCACTCCCAAGTCTCTACTCTCGGCTGTTACAATTGGGAGAAGATAGCTCCTCCCTTTCTCCTCTCTCTCGGATCCCTTGTGTAAGGGTGGACAATCAGTTCGAGTTTATTGAAAGAAAATTACTAATAGGGGAGAAAGGGGGTCAGTTTCTTTCTTTTACGGTCTAAACTCCTATTTGTCAGCCGTAGGGAACTACTGCTTGGTCGGGAAGAAGGGAAAGGTTTGGGCCTACCTATCACGATATTGAACCAATTGTCCATTGCTAATATGGGTACTCCAACAACATATGCAACTCAACTATCTCATCCTTGTGAATGCATCCGGTGACTGATGTATAATTCAAAAATATAGATCAACCCTCGTCCATACAAAATGATTTGAGTTTTATATTCATCTCCTACGGATTGATTAGAGCCAACCTAAATAGTTGTGGAGCCGATCCAGCTCTCGAACAGAATTCACTTTATCTTAGCAAAAGGCTGAGAAAGGTATGGCTCCAAACATAGAGAAATATTGGTACATTTTACGGATATAGTCTAAGCTCTAAGAATGTGATACATTTTATGTAAGAAAAAATACATATCTACTAGAGAAATAGTGGAGGAGAAAAATGCTCCACGCAAGAAAGAATTCCCAATTCTCTTTTTGTGTGGACATTGTGCTTACTCCATGGCTACATATCAATTGGGCTGCATCAGCATCAGCAGTCGGCACCAGCATGGGCTCCTGTTGTTTGGTGGCGCGCTTTTGCCGTGTTAGCAGAATCTGATTGGCCATTTCCAAGTATAATTGGACGAGTACTATCTCTCTACAGTCTTATCTAGGGCTGCAAACGAGCCGAGTCGAGTCGAGTTTTTCTTAGTTTGAGTTCGGCTCGTTTATAAATTTTTTAGCTTTTTGCTTAGCTTGAGCTCGGCTTGTTTATAAATTTTTTAGCTCGAGCTCGGCTCGAACTCGAATTTTCATCATCCAGCTCGAGCTCGAGCTTGACTCGATTAAAAATAATCCAGCTCGAGCTCGGCTCGATAAAGCTCGGTAAATTCTCATTAACACAGCTTGTCAAGCTGAGTACAAGCTCGGCTCAAGATAAGCTCGATTTGAAACCATTCTTGCTGAAAAATGTGTACAAATAAGAATATTATAAATTATAAATGATAAAAATAACACTAAAAACTAAAAATAACATCTAACTTCCATACACATCCTTATTAACAAGATAATTTTCATGTTCAGAAAAGTAATTAATCCTTCCACAAGCTTTAAACAAGCCAGCTCGCGAGCTTAGCTCAACAAGCCACCGAGTCAAGCTAGCTCACGAGCTTATCAAGTCGAGCATAGCCTAGCTCAAGCTTGGCTCGTTTACTAACGAGTCAGCTCGCGAGCCAGCTTGTTAAACAACGAGTCGAGTGTCGAACGAGTTTTTTCCGATTCGAACGCCGAGTTGCTCGCGAGCGGCTTGGCTCATTTGCAGCCCTATTATAACATTTGCTCTACACTACACGGGATAAAGTGACTCACTGAGTGACTTCATGTGGTTCTCAGCAATCCTCACACTCTCTATAAATACTTCTCCAGAACCCACCCGATTTCAAACCGACAAAAACAGAGGAAAAAAGCTTGGATGATCATGGATGCCAATTGCTTTCTCAGTTCCTCCAATCCCTTCACCAAAACTACTACTGCACTAGAATTCCCCACTCCTTCATCCAGATTCCTCCACTTCCCTTGTTCAAGAAGATGCTCCAATGGATCACAATTTCAACCCAAAAGAGTTCGCCTTTCCTCCTCCATTACATGTTGGTCTCTCAACTGACTTCCATCATCTCTTCTCTGCGCCTTCGATTTCGTTATTCAGCTGATTGTTTGCCGCCAAAGTTTTGATTTTTATTGCATATGGGTAATGGGTAACAGGCTGTCAATCGGCGGGATCGTCCGACGATCTGCATCAGCACGCCGAATCCTTCCTGCAGGCTGATTGGAGATGGTTCAGGGCGAAAATGGTCGCTAACGAGCAAGCCTTTATGACCGCGAGCACCGGGAAAAGCTCGCCGGCGGCAGATCTAGACGAGAAGCGTACAGCACAACCGCCGCCGCAGCTGGTGACGGTGGGAGATAGATGGGCCCACGCCATCCACGAGCCGGAAAGAGGGTGCCTGCTCATCGCAACGGAGAAGCTGGACGGGGTCCACATCTTCGAACGGACGGTGGTCCTTCTCCTTTCAACGGGCCCTGCAGGCCCATTGGGCATCATCCTCAACAGCCCGTCCCTCATGTCCATCAAGGAGATGCGAAACACCGCCACGACGTCGTCTTCTCTGTCTGTGAATGTGATGCCTCCAGAAGCGTTTTCGGGCCGGCCGTTGTTCTTCGGAGGCTGTCACGACCTTACTCTCGATCGTGCGGCCCTAGCTCTCAATTCCGTTAGAGCGCTAGGCAGCCTTTCTCTCAACTCACTTGAAAGCAAAGAACAAGAACAAGACAGAGGAAGTGGGAGAACTCTCTAGTGTGTATTACTCTCAAAAATGATGGAATGAGTTACAAGTGAGGGAGATGGCTCCTTATATAGGCCTCTCCTCATACAAGGCATCAATGCCCCTCATAATGTCCCTCTACTACATCAATACACCCATTAAGTCCCCCCATTATGCACTCTATAAATACTACCATAATGTAGCTAATAAGTGCACCATTAAGCTCTCTATTAAGGTGGAGAATCCTAGGAGCATCTCTATGCTACTAGTCTTCCATGCATGACACATGTGCAGCCTTGTTGTCACCTTGTTGGCGCCATGTCATCGGCCACATGTGACATCCTCCCCCACCTATGCTCGCGACGCCCTCGTCGCGCCCTCTTGATGGAATGCCTCGATCAAGTCCTTGTTCTTCCAAAGCGTAAGCTCTTTCTCCCAAGTTGCTTCACTTTCCGGAAGGTTGCGCCACTTGACCAAGTACTCCACAAAGCTTGGATGTACGCCACGACGAGGAATGACACGACGCGCCATGACTTCTTCAACTTCATGGTCGTGTGTCTTGGTGATGAGTGTTGGAGCGCGATGCGACTCTCTTCGCTGCTCATCCTCCTTGTCTTCGTGAAAAGGCTTGAGTTGGCTCACATGGAAAACCGGATGGATCTCCAAGTGCGTCGGCAACTCAACCTTGTATGCCACCGCGCCAATCCTCTTCACGATAGGGAATGGCCCTTCATAGCGGCGAAGCAGTCCCTTGTGCACATTCTTGAGATGCTTGAATCGATGAGGGTAGAACTTGATCATCACCATGTCTCCCTCTTCGAATTCCAAGTGCCGCCTCTTCTTGTCCGCCCATTTCTTCATCTTCTTACTAGCGCGGGCTAAGTAAGACTTGGCCAACTCCATCTTCTCGTGCCAGCCTTTAGCGAACTTGTAGGCTGCCGGACTGTTGCCTCTATACCCCGTTGCCACCGTAGTTGGTGTCAAAGGTTGCTGCCCCGTCGCCAACTCAAATGGACTCGCGTTGGTCGACTCGCTGCGGTGCAAGTTGTAGGAGAATTGTGCCGTGTCCATCAACTTCACCCAATCTCGTTGGTTTGCACTCACGTAGTGCCGCAAGTACACCTCCAACAAGGCATTCACCCGCTCCGTCTGTCCGTCGCTTTGAGGATGAAATGCCGTCGAGAAGTTCAAGTCTGAGCCCATGATCTTGAACAACTCTCGCCAAAATCTGCCCGTGAAGCGCCCATCTCTGTCGCTCACGATGTTGCTAGGAACGCCCCAATACTTGACCACGTTCTTGAAGAATAGCCGCGCCGCATCCTCTGCCGTCATGTCTTTTGGGCCGGGAACGAACACTCCATACTTCGAGAACCGGTCCACAACCACCATGATGCAACCGCATCCATCGACTTTGGGAAGTCCGATGATGAAGTCCATGCTTACACTCTCCCATGGTCGTTGAGGTGTGGGCAAGGGCTCTAGCAAGCCTGCCGGGCTTCTCTGCTCCATCTTGTCTTGTTGGCACACAAGACAAGTCTTCACATACATCTCCACGTCGTCTCTCATACGCGGCCAGAAGTATGCTTCTTCGATGAGAGCTTGCGTTCTCTCGATGCCGGGATGGCCCGCCCACTTGGAGTCATGGCACTCCTTCATGATCTCTTTCCTCAAGTTGGCCCACCTTGGCACGAACACACGCTCTCCCTTGGTCATGATGAGCCCATCCTTCATCCAAAACCGTCGAGTCTTGCCTTGCTCGATGTACTCCGCTACGGTTTTGGCAAAGGGGTCATGGCCAAGGCCTTCAACGATCCGCTCCTTCAAAGGAAACATGGGCTGGCTGATGCTTGCGGCTGCACTCTTGCGGCTAAGAGCATCGGCAACGGAATTCGCCTTGCCTGGGTTGTATTCCATGACAAAATCAAACTCGGCCAAAAAGTCTTGCCACCTCGCTTGCTTGGGGGTGAGCTTCTTCTGCGTCAGAAAGTAGCTCGTTGCCACGTTGTCCGTCTTCACTACGAACTTTGACCCCAACAAGTAGTGCCTCCATGTGCGCAAGCAATGCACCACGGCCGTCATCTCCTTCTCTTGAACGGTGTATCGCCTCTCCGTCTCGCTGAGCTTCCGACTCTCGAAGGCAATGGGATGTCCATCTTGCATCAACACTCCTCCAATCGCGAAGTCGGACGCATCGGTCTGCACTTCGTAGGCCAACGTCGGGTTGGGGAGCACGAGCACGGGCTCCTTCACCACCGCTTGCTTCAAGGCCTCGAATGCTTCTTGGCACCTTTCTGACCAATCCCACGCCTTGTTCTTCTTCAAGAGATCCGTCAAGGGTGCTGCAATGTTGGAGTAGCCCTTGATAAACCTCCGATAGTAGTTGGCAAGGCCGAGGAATGACCGCAACTCTGGCACCTTCGTCGGCGGCTCCCATTCTTGGATTGCCTGCACCTTTGCTCCATCCATCTTCAACTTGCCTCCACCAATGATGTGCCCCAAGAATGGAACCTCCGTGGCGGCAAATGTGCACTTCTCCCTCTTGACGTACAACTCGTTGTCGCGAAGGACTTGGAAGACTTGGCGTAGATGCTCGGCATGCTCATCGAGTGTTTTGCTATACACGACGATGTCATCCAAGTAGACCACGACAAACCGGTCCAAGAATGGCTCGAACACTTGATTCATCAAAGTGCAAAACGTGGCTGGTGCGTTGGTGAGACCGAATGGCATCACAAGAAACTCGTAAGAGCCATACCTCGTCACACAAGCCGTCTTTGGCTCGTCGCCCTCTGCTATCCGCACTTGATAGTAGCCCGAGCGAAGATCTAGCTTGGTGAACCACATTGCATCTCCAAGTTGGTCGAACAGATCGCCAATGTTGGGAATCGGCCACTTGTTCTTCACCGTCAACTTGTTGATGGCTCTATAGTCGATGCACATCCGCAACGACCCTTCCTTCTTCTTTTGGAACAGCACCGGTGCTCCAAAAGGTGACTTCGATGGCCGCATGTAGCCTGCGTCCACCAAGTCCTTGAGCTGCCTCCGCAACTCTTCTAGCTCCGGTGGCGACATGCGGTATGGTGCTCGCGAAGGGGGCTTCGCTCCTGGCTCCAACTCGATCTTGTGGTCCACCTCTCTTCTTGGTGGCAGCTTCTTGGGCAACTCCGATGGCATCACGTCGTCGAACTCTTCGAGGACGCCTTTGATGATGGGAGTTGTGATTCCCGCTGAGCCTCCTTCTTCCTCCATTTTCAAGGACACAAGAAAGGTTGGTTCATTCTTCTTGAACCCCTTCAACACTTGCATGGCCGACAAAGCACTATGGGGGCCATCTTCTCTCAAGAGATGGATCGTGTGAAACTCCCCCTCCTTCTCCAAGCACATCGTGTTGGAGTTGGGCTTCAAGAGCACTCCCTCCTTGTCGAGGAAGTTGATGCCGAGGATGACTGGGTGATCGTCCATGGTGACGACGGAAAAGTCGATGAGGCCTTCCCACTCGCCAAGCTTCACTGGTACGTTGTGAGCAACTCCATGGATTGGGATGGACTCCGAATTGATCGTCTTGAGCCTCCCTTGCCCCTTCTCGTAAGCAATACCCAGCCGGTTTGCCTCCTCGATGCGAAGGAAGTTGTCCGTGGCACCGGTATCCACCAAGGCTTTTGACTCGCCTTGCATGAATTGCGCCAGAACATAGCACCTCCCACGCTTGCTCTCCTTGACGTCGGTCTTTGCCGCGCCAAGCTTGCGGATTGAGCCAATCTTGGCCTCCGCCGCCTTGGGCTCCTCATCTTGAGCTTCCATGGCCGCCAATCTCGCCTTCCTTGGGCAATCTCGCACTCGATGTGGTCCGTCGCAAAGGAAGCAAGACATGGGTTTTGGCTCGTACTTACCCCCTTTGCTCGAACCACCTTGGTTTTGTTGAATGCGAGCACCCTCCTTGAAAGGCTTCTGCTGTTCGCCACCCTTGTTGGGCTTTGAACTCTTCTCTTTGCCGCTGCTCTCTTGCCTTTTGTACTCGACAAAAGACTCCGCCGTGGCCATGGCAGTTGCAAGGTCTTGCACTCCTCGACGTTGCATCTCCATCTTGGCCCATGGTTGCAGCCCATCAAGAAAGCCGTGCATGGCCTCCTTGTCCGTGATGTCCGGGATCTCTAGAAGCAGCTCCGAGAATTCTTTCACGTATTCTCGAACTCCACCCCTCTGGGTGAGTCTTCTCAACTTCGAACGGGCTTCAAACTCCACGTTCTCCGGGTAGAACTGCCTCTTGATTTCTCTCTTGAAATCTTCCCACGTCACCATCACACAAGTACCTCTTTCGACGTCCGCTTCACGTCGCCTCCACCACACCATTGCAACATCGACCAAGTATAGTGGAGCGGTACGAAGTTTTACCTCATCCTCTTGGATGCCGGATGCCTTGAAGTATTGCTCAAGACTCCAAAGGAAGTTCTCTAACTCCCTCGCGTTCCTTGAACCTCCGAAGTTCTTCGGTCTTGGAACATCAGCACGTGGGACGGATTGCACCGGGGCTGGTCCGCTAGCCATGGCTCTCTTCACGAGAGTGACCTCACTCTTGAGGTCTGCAATCTCCACCTTCACGCCGACCAGCTCAGCCTGGACTTGCTCTTTCACAACTTCAAGGGCGTTGTTCATGGAGGTGGTGATGGTGTTGTTGATGAGGGCTATAAGCTCTTCCCGCATCCCATCGTGGTTGATCTCCAAGCTTGTCAACCGACCAGCCATTCCTTGAACATCGCCTTTGACTTGGGCGAAGTTACCTCCCAAATCCTCGATGGTAGTGATATCTTCCGCCATCTTCACTTCCATCCTCGAGACTCGCCTCTCTAGAGACTTGAGAGGATCACGAGTGCTCGACGTACCTTTTCCTCTCTGGCCCGGTGTGGGCTCTCTTCCACGCGGCTTCTCAGCATCGTCGTGAACTTCTGATCCCGACATTTTTGGTGAGGTTCTTCCTTTCCTTCTGGCTCTAGGTTCAACTTTGCTAGCACAAAGCCGAACCAGGCTCTGATACCACTTGTCACGACCTTACTCTCGATCGTGCGGCCCTAGCTCTCAATTCCGTTAGAGCGCTAGGCAGCCTTTCTCTCAACTCACTTGAAAGCAAAGAACAAGAACAAGACAGAGGAAGTGGGAGAACTCTCTAGTGTGTATTACTCTCAAAAATGATGGAATGAGTTACAAGTGAGGGAGATGGCTCCTTATATAGGCCTCTCCTCATACAAGGCATCAATGCCCCTCATAATGTCCCTCTACTACATCAATACACCCATTAAGTCCCCCCATTATGCACTCTATAAATACTACCATAATGTAGCTAATAAGTGCACCATTAAGCTCTCTATTAAGGTGGAGAATCCTAGGAGCATCTCTATGCTACTAGTCTTCCATGCATGACACATGTGCAGCCTTGTTGTCACCTTGTTGGCGCCATGTCATCGGCCACATGTGACAAGGCCCATTGGAGGAAGGCCTGTTTCTGGTGAGGCCCAGAGGTGGGTACGACAAGGACAGGCTGGCGAGGAGCGGGGTGTTCGAGGAGGTGATGAAAGGGCTGTACTACGGGACGAAGGAGACGGCGGGGTGCGCGGCGGAGATGGTGAAGAGGAATATGGTCGGCGTCGGGGATTTCAGATTCTTCGACGGGTATTGCGGTTGGGAGACGGAGCAGTTGAAGGAGGAGATTGATGCTGGGTATTGGACTTTGGCGGCCTGTAGCTCGAGTGTTATTGGGCTGGATAAGGAAGCTAGTTTTGGGCTTTGGGAGGATGTCTCCTGGCTTGTTGGGCCAAAAGCGGTTTCTTGACCGGAGAGATTAATCAATGTACTGGAATTTTATGTGGACTGAAATGTGATTATCTATTGGTAAACTTGGCTCAAGTTATTGTAAATGATCTCTTCTTGGACCTGCCAAAGCTCCTTGGATTACTAAACGTTTCCCGGAGGACGATGAAAAGGAGAAGGCATTTGAATTTTCCAGTTCCTATATAGAGCATTAGATAGAGCTCATTAACTCCTACGGTTTTAGGCCTTAGCTGTTCAGCATTCCATAATGAATGAATATACTACTTTTTTCTTGGGAATTTGCATGAATGAGAAGTTGGAACGGTTATATTATCTCCCCATAACCCTCTACAGTCACTTCACCACTTTGGAAGCTTGGAACACCAGAAAAGAAAACCACGGGTTGGTCTGCCTAGGGGATTTCGATATCGAACTCCTGCTGGTCAACCCAGTGTTGCCGGGGGAGAAACGATTTGTGAGATTGGAACGTTTCTTTGACTGCGATACTGATACTGAAGATGTGAAATTAAAACGTGTCTTGGAGTGGGATAGTGATTATGATAATGAGAACTGCTCGGCTTTTTCGTACGAGTGGGTTGGTTATGGATTTGGATACGACGAGGTAGCTCAGGACTACAAAGCCGTTGTACTGCTAGCTGATATCTGCAGATTTGTCGTCACGAAGTCCTACATTTTAACTTATTGCTTTAGGACCAGATCTTTTAGCCTCTGTCCCTTACATTATGACTTTCGTCATTCCCCCATAGAAGATCATAGCATGGGCGTGCTTGTTGGTGGCTCTCTGCATTGGATTTGGGAGCCAAATGTGATCCATTCGTATGATCTTGGTTCTGATGTGTTTGGAGAAATCCAGCAGCCAAAACCCAAAATACGCAGCACAATTATCTTCCTCCTCGGCCGGCGTTGGGGTCGTGGATTCGTGCCTGTGCGTTTGTGCTACTTATGCTGAGGGGAGTGCTGTGGGTGGGGGAAAGCTTGATGTTTGGGTGATGAAAGAGTACGGGAATGAGGATTCATGGTGCATTCTCCATTCTGTAGTTGATAATCCTGTCTTCGATCAACCTCCTCAAGTGGTTCGATGTTTGGGAATGTTGGATGGCCAGATTCTAATGCTGGTAAATGGTAGTGGGCTTACCTGGGTTGATCCAAGGAATGGGAGGGTTGAGGTTGTTCCCATTCCTGGTTTTACTAATGCGTCGAAATTCGAAGCAGTTCTCTGCTTAGAAAGTCAAGTCAAAACCTTCACGGCCGAGGATTATGAGACACGTGACGATGACATAAGGTAATACTATGTTAGAAACCGGCGGGTTGAGCCGGTTGGGTGAGGGAGTGGCAGTTTCGTTATTTTCATTATTCAGCTTTTGTATTTAAAACGAGAAACACTATTCTGCAGAGTTAGTCAATTATGAATAATATCAATCAAAATCCCTAATTCCCAATTCTCTCTATCTCTTGTTCTTCCCCAATTCTTCTCAAATCCCTAATTTCTTCTCTTCTCAATCCCTAATTCCCTTGTGGAACTTCTTTGTTTCTAACATCTGGTATCAGAGCCCCGTTCCGATCTGTGAGTTCTTCTTAACTCCATCAGGGACAGCTTCGAAACCAGGGAATCGGCAATGGAAAACTCAGAACTGTCATGGGCTCAGAGGCGTGAGAGGCTGTGGCAGATCGCGGATTATTGGAGGAAGGAGGCAGCCGAGTTCGGCCAGGCCGACCGAGGCGCGGTGGGCGGCGCGCGACAGGAGGCGGCGCGCGAGAGGGTCGCGGCCGAGGCGGAAGGCGGCGCGCGGCTGGGGGTGGCGTGCGCGGCGGTCGAGAAGGGCGCGGGGCGGAGCCCGGCCGGCGGGGCTGGCGGGGAGGCGCCGAGGCGCGCGAGGCCTGCGGCGGAGGGTGAGGCCGACGGCGGCTGCGCCGGGGAAGGCCGGGTCGCGGGCGAGGAAGGAGGGGGAACGGCGGCGATTTCCCTACATTCTGTAGCTGGGATTTCGTCACCCGGGACCCTGAGATTCCGAGCAAGGGTGGCCGGGCAGCAGGGTCTTGTTCTCGTTGATAGTGGGGCCTCGTTGAATTTCATCGGGGAAGAGTTTGCTAAGACTTTGCAGGTGACCGCGAGCCCGACGAGACCGGTGGTGGTTCGGGTTGCCAACGGGGCGCCGTTGCAGTGCGTCGAGGTGTACAGGGACTTGGCATTGGAGATTCAAGGCTTGGAGGTTGTCACTGACCTCTATGTACTGCCTTTGCGAGGGTTTGACATTATCCTCGGTATACCTTGGCTGCAGAGCCTAGGACCGATTACCAGTGATTGGCGAAGGCTGACGATGTGCTTCAAGTGGAGGGATAAGGAGTGGAGTCTGAGAGGCTTGACCACCGCCATTGGGCCGATCGAGATGGAGGAGTGCGCGAAGGGGGAGGACACCGAGCTCGCAGTCCTATGCTGGCCTCTATCTGCAGCAGGGAAGCCGGAGGTGGATGGAGAGATGCAGGAGCTGTTAGACCGGTACCCCGAGTTGTTCAGGGCGCCGACCACTCTTCCGCCTCATAGGCAGGTGGATCATCAGATTTGTCTGAAGGAGGGAGTGGAAGCAGTGAATGTGAGGCCATACCGTTATGGGCACTCGCAGAAGGGGGAGATCGAGAAACAGGTAGAGGAGATGCTGGCGACCGGACTGATCCGGCCTAGCACCAGTCCTTTTTCTTCGCCGGTGTTGCTGGTTAAGAAGAAGGATGGGACGTGGAGATTCTGCACAGACTACCGGGCTCTCAACAAGGCGACCGTGAAGGATCGGTTTCCGATCCCGACAGTGGATGACATGTTAGATGAACTGCATGGGTCGAGCTATTTCACTAAGCTCGACTTGAGAGCCGGTTACCATCAAATCAGGATGCAGGAGGAGGACGTGCCCAAAACAGCATTCCGCACTCATAATGGCCACTATGAGTATTTGGTCATGCCATTTGGGCTATGCAATGCTCCTTCGACGTTTCAGGCTGCCATGAACGACATTTTTCGGCCTCTCCTGAGACGGTATGTCTTGGTATTTTTTGATGATATCCTGGTTTATAGTCCTACTTGGGAGGACCATTTGAGACATTTGCAGGAGGTGTTTGAGATTCTTCGGAGGCACCAGTACTATGTCAAGGCCTCCAAGTGTGAGTTTGGGGCGCAGAAGGTGGATTACCTGGGGCACGTGGTGACACCTCAGGGAGTACAGGTGGACCAGGCCAAGATTCGAGCCATGGTGGACTGGCCAGTGCCCACCAACGTGACCGAGTTGCGTGGCTTCCTGGGATTGACCGGGTACTACCGGAAGTTTGTGCAGGGGTACAGTATGATCGCTAGACCTCTGACGGACTTGCTGAAGAAGGGAGGGTTCGGCTGGTCACCGCAGGCAGAGGAGGCATTCCAGAAGCTGAAGCAGGCGATGACCACAACCCCCACCCTGGCAATGCCGGATTTCTCGAAGACGTTCGTGATTGAGGCCGATGCGTCTGGCCGCGGTATTGGAGCAGTGTTGTCTCAGGATCGACATCCCATTGCTTTCATGAGCAAGACACTACCTCCTTCGAAGGAGGCCTGGTCGACATACCAGAAGGAGATGCAGGCTATCATCACAGCAGTACAGATGTGGAGACCATATTTGCTGGGCCAGAAGTTTCACATCTATACAGATCATCAGAGTCTGAAGCATCTCCTAGAGCAGCGGGTGTCGACGCCGGACCAGCATAAGTGGATTTCGAAGCTACTGGGGTATGACTACGAGATTCATTACAGACCGGGACCCACCAATGTGGTGGCCGACGGCCTATCCAGGCGTCCGGGTGGGGAGATCCTCACGGCAGTGACCGGGCCGGTGCCGGAGTTTTGGGATGAGCTTCGTGCATCGTTGGAGACCAGTTCCTATTTGCAGAGTTGCCGGGACATTGCTGTGAGCGACGAGCCGGGTCGCTACCAGTTCAGACAGGGGCTGGTCCTTTTCAAGGGCCGGGTGGTCCTTCCGCCGGGGTCAAACCTGGTCACGACAGTGCTGATGGAGTTCCATGACTCGCCGTTAGGGGGTCATTCGGGCGTGGAGCGGACCCTACGGCGGATTCGGGCCCATTTCTACTGGCCTCGCATGGCGGACGACGTGAAGAGCTACGTAGCGTCCTGTGACACCTGTCAGCGGGTGAAGTTATCTCACCTCAGACCCGCTGGGTTGTTACAGCCACTACCGGTGCCGGAGCGGGTTTGGGAGGACGTCAGCATGGACTTTATAGTGGGGCTTCCCCCCTCAGGTGGTAAGACGGTGTTGTTCGTGGTGGTGGACCGCCTGACGAAGTATGCTCACTTCATGCCTTTGGCTCACCCGTACACGGCAAAGGCAGTGGCTGAGCAGTTTGTATCAGGAGTTGTACGGCATCACGGGTTTCCTCGATCTATTGTGAGTGATCGGGATTCAGTCTTCTTGAGTCACTTCTGGCAGGAGGTCTTTGCTATGGCCAAGACGGCGCTGAAGATGAGTTCGGCCTATCACCCGCAGACGGATGGCCAGACGGAGATCGTGAACAAACATCTGGAGCAGTATCTCAGGTGTTTTGCCCACCAGCAGCCCAAGAGCTGGTTGGCCATGATTCCATGGGCTGAGTTGTGGTATAACACCACCTATCACAGGGCTATTCGGATGACTCCCTTCGAGGCTCTATACGGGCGAGCTCCGCCGTCCCTGGTTCGATACCGGATGGGTGACAGTTCTGTGGATGCTGTCGACAGGTGGTTAGGGGCGAGGGATGAGGCACTTGAGCAGCTGCGGAGTACGTTGGCGGCCGCCAATAACAGGATGAAGCAGTTGGAGGATGCGGGTAGGCGGGAGGAGGAGTTCGAGGTGGGCGACTGGGTGCTGCTGAGACTGCATCCCTATCGGCAGGCCTCGGTCTTCAGGCGCGCCTACCAGAAGCTGGCGGCTCGTTATTTCGGGCCCTACGAGATTCTGCAGAAGGTCAACCCAGTGGCCTATCGTTTGCAGCTGCCGGCAGAGTCTCGCATTCATCCTACCTTCCATGTTTCATTGTTGAAACGTTACAGGGGGGCAGCAGACAGAGTTGAGACGACAGCTCCGCCAGTCAGTGCAGATGGTGATCTTGAGTTGGAGCCGCTGAAGGTGCTCGAGACCAGGTGGGTGAAGAAGAAGGGTCGACTGGTGGAGGAAAGCTTAGTGCTTTGGAGGCATTTGGAGCCGGAGGACGCGACTTGGGAGGAGTCGGGTGAATTGCAGCAGAAGTTTCCGTACTTTGACCTTGAGGACAAGGTCAGACTTGAAGAGGGGGAGGATGTTAGAAACCGGCGGGTTGGGCCGGTTGGGTGAGGGAGTGGCAGTTTCGTTATTTTCATTATTCAGCTTTTGTATTTAAAAGGAGAAACACTATTCTGCAGAGTTAGTCAATTATGAATAATATCAATCAAAATCCCTAATTCCCAATTCTCTCTATCTCTTGTTCTTCCCCAATTCTTCTCAAATCCCTAATTTCTTCTCTTCTCAATCCCTAATTCCCTTGTGGAACTTCTTTGTTTCTAACATACTACTACTGGCTACTACTACTCTTTCCTGCCGGCATTTTTATGTTTCTGAAATCGGTCGGTGGTCTGAGTTGCTTGTTAATTTAGGATTGCTAATGAAGCAGAGAAACAGGGTTGTAATTGCAAATCCAACTCTTTTTATGCTTGTTTTCCTGCCCGTTTGTTCCCAATCACCCAACTCATCTGAAGATATCTTCTGTATCTCCAGGACCGAGACCTCTGAAGCAGAATCGTCGGAGGAATGATGACAGCATCGATCATTCTGATATTTGGTTGCAGAATTTTAAGCACTAGTGCACAGTAGACGTTGGCAGGTGCATGCAGTATGGCAGACGTCTGAGTTCTTCACTGTTTTTTTTTTTGTTTTGCTCGTTTTTCTAAGTTCTTCATTGTTAAATTGGACATGCTATGCTATGCATTGAGTTGTCTTTTGATGAAAGAAATAAGGGTAAATAACTTAGTTTGGTCGCGACAGTTTTTGCCCGAATCACATAGGAATGTTCTCTTCTTTTTCCTTCTATGGTTTGTTAATGTGATCTCTTTGCCTACCAAATGGATGCGTTGACTGAACATAGTAGATGATAGTTGATGCTCCAATTTATAGAACATAACACACCACAATCGCTTCCTTATTTCCCAAACGCAAGATACAACAACAATGGGTAGATGTCGACCCAGCATGATACTTTAGAATACACGTCAGCACACAATAACAAGAACCTGGCTTCAAACTTGTGATTGTAGAAGGGGAGAACTGAGGCTGCTGTTGTTCCTGGCATACTGAACTGGCAACAATGCTGGATCACGGTATGCGGTAACTAATTTATCGTAGAACTCAGCCATGTTCGGCCGATTTTGGTCTTCTTTATCTTTTTTCACGATACTCTGCAGCACAAGGACGCCAGATATGTCAAGGATACTCTACAGTAATCACATCTGTGAATGCTTAACTCTCACGGTAAAAATGTGCTATATGAAAATAGAGAATGGAAGGAGAGTGATTGCGTACCTCGGTTGGATAGTATTGAAATAGGGGTACGAATCGTCTGCGGCAGTACTCATTGAAGAGAAGTGTGAGAATGGGGAGCGGCACAGTTAAAGTGGATGCTAAAGGCAGCTTCTTCAGCCCAAATATTCCAATGGCAATAACATGCATCAGGATCAAGGAGAAGATTGTGGAACCATGTACTATTGGCCAAAACCTTCCATTAGTTTCGTATTTCGGTTCGTATACATTTAGTAGCTGGAGCAGAGATGAGGAGGTTGTTAGATAACCGGTAGTGAGGGTTGTGTACTTTATCTATGAAAGATTATAGTTCAGTTACCTGGTTGCGGAAGGTGATGTATCCAATGCAGAAGTAGATCAAGAGAAATGGAAGGATTAATGGTGCAAGGAAGAAGTATGTTGTGCCCAGGAGTCCAAAGAAGAGGATTCTTGGAATTTCGCTGTGGTAGGGCAGCTTTGGGACCTCAATTTCCTCATCGTCATTGCTGGAAAACACTCCCGTGACATAACTCCAGAGCAGAGAAGTCAGCTGAGAGATTTCAGATGATAATTTCGTCCATCCAGATGTAACGACGTATGAGATAAAGAAGGTTGCCTGCAGCCAGAAAGAATTTGCATTTTTCATGAGTGGTCACATAACAGAATCAGAAGAATTCCCTTGAGCTGATGACAGATGGCTCAATCGAAGACGAAGAGAATTATGTACTGCTAAGCCACCTAATCCCCAGAAAATGTTGAAATATTAAACTCATTCTGCAGATGTTATGTACACATGACAGATGTTGCTTTGTTAAGGTAGGAAATGGATCATTACCTGACCTGGAACAGCTTCAGCTAGTATTTTGGGAATATTCTTCGGTTCAAGGAAGATATTCACCTGATAGAAAGCTGAACCTGATAGTACATTTGCAAAAAAGATGTTCCATATTGTAAACCACAAAACCTTGGTACATGCGCTTTTTTCCGTGCTGCTAGATGAAAGGTATCCCTCCATAGAGGACAACATTAACATAACAGGTGGCACCAGATACAGGAACAGCTGCAGAATGAGACTTGGTAAATATCCAGTAACGATTTGGCTGACAATGGTCCTGCAAGTCAAATGGTACTGCACATCAGTACCCAATAAAGTACGATTATACAGATGAACTACTTTTTAAGAACACATGCTAAGAACTAGATGCAATACAAATAAGTGTCTGCCTCAGTCATAAGGCTTGATGTATCAGATCATCATGAGCATAGCAAGATATTATTACAGGAGATAAGGACACTAACTAGTTCTCTAAGGAAAACTACTGCACTTCAAGTGACATCAAAGAGAACCTGGAATTAAACTTTGAAAAATACAATTGAATATACAAGACCATGTTCACTTACAGATCTAGAATGCCTTTCAGGAAAGGAAACCAAGTTTCCAGCTGCTCCAGATTAGCCAGACCTTGCACTAAAACAACTGGAATAAGGAAGAGAATTGTGAGGGCAACACACGCAACCACGACAACTATCCTGCTAATCCATCTTTTCATGAATGAAGAAGAAAAGGACGACCAATGGATGTCACGAGGCTCAGGAGCTTCCTCTGTGAGCCACTCTGTGGGATCGAGACCTTGTTGCATATGAAGAGCTACTGCAGCACCAAATCGTGACTTGAATGACACAAAAGCAGCTGGAACTTCCTGATGAATTTCACATCACGCAAAAACAGAGATTTAGATTCTACCCTCTTAAACGGTCAAAGGTGACTTCTTTACGAAATGTCTAATATGCATATACATGTGAACAGTGGAATGAGCACATGGGTAAAGGTGGTCAGCCTTCAATTCTAGACGAACTAAGATGTGCAGACTTGACCATCTTGTCGTTTGTTCTGTGATCATTGTCACAATGAAATAGCACAAGAGGCTCTGGCTGACCGTATAGTAGCTTTTCTGAAAAGAGGTTCGACTTGTATCTACTGGAGAATTTCAGTGGGAAAAGAGCTATAGACCACGATAACCACGTCATTTTATGTATAACATTGTCTAGTTTGTCCCCTACTGTTTAAATTTCCCAGTGAAAGCAGTTTAGCAGATCAACCAGGAGATTAATGACTGTTACACTTGTGAAATCAAGGTAGAAATGGTCTTACAACGCTGGTTTTAGGCAACTCCCCAGTCAAAGAATGCTGTTCTGTTCTCACATTTCTCTCCAAATCTTCCAACTTTTGCTCATAATGGCTGACATCAGTATCCCTGCCCTGGAAGAGGCCCAATAACCTATCTTTTTTATTTATTTGCTGCGAACTCTGTGATTTCGCCCGGGCAAGAGTTCTGTATAGTTTCTCTGCATCTTTCTGCATCACAAAAGAGCTTAATAATCAATGGCATTGCATATTATATGAAAAATAATCGATGCTTTAAATTAAAAAAAAGGAATGCATCTCTACTCTCTAGAAATGATGTATAAGGGAAATGCTCCCCAATTACTGCATTATGGAATGCTTGTACAAATTATCTGCGACAGTTTGTTGTATCATAGTAACGCACAAGACATGGAAGTTGAGACAGTTTTGTTCCACAAAGTATTAGCCATTTGCCTTGAAACTTCCCTAGCTTCTTCTCATTAGCTACAACCTTCATTGTGCAACACCCTATCATAAGCTTTGAAGAAGTGGTTCACAACATCTTTAGCAATAATAATATAAGGCATAAGCTCATTTCAAGGTGCAAGGACAAGCAGATGGAAAAAGATTCATAGAGCAAGCTAACCCCATGCAAGTACAATCGAACAGATAAAGAGGTCTTTAATTTAACGAAGCAAAAGGAAAACATCATCACCGTAGCCTCATTTCTAATGAATCAATCTGCAGTCCACCCCAAAAAGCTTACAATGAGACTTCGAATTTTGCTCGTACGATGAACCACCATGTGCGAAAGATATGTAGATGGATGATTATCAGTAAAAAACGCCTGGACAGCTTCACTAAAGCTTCTTCCTTCAGAAGATGGTATACCACGGACAACAATCGTATAGTGACGTGGCTGAGGTGGAGACGAGTGAAAAGAAGCAATCCTTCTCAGGGAGATGTGGTTATACTCCTGCAAATTGTACAAGCATTCAAGTCGTTCCATTGACACAACTCAGCTTCATAGATGGGAGAATGACAACAGAACAGCAGAACAATGATTTCCATTTTCACTTACATAATAAAGAAGGTAGCAGACAACTCCAGTAAAGATGTAGGCAGCCGAAAAGTGAACCCATAACCTAGATAAAGCGAAACACTATCATCAAGTATCTTATTGCCGCATGGACTAGGAACTAGTATACTTAACAGTTAGTTCAAAATCCAGATTCTGCAATTGGAGCTAAATTGCTCAACCTACAGGTTCTTTTCTCACCAGAAAACTCATGGATCGATTACAAAGTATGACTAGAAGTGAGAGAAGGAGGAGGAACTCACCAGTTTGATCCATCATTAACATTCGATATACTGAAAGTTTCCAGATTCTTGTTCGGCAAATCATAGAAGTCGATACTCAATTGATTCCCCAAGTAGTTCACCGGAAGGAGAACGAAAATCCCAATCGCCCCGCCGATCGCGAACACTCTCGAGCTGCAATTTTTTTTAACCAGCAACACAGACGAATGAGTAAATAGCGAAGAAGGAAAGAAGAGAGCAACTGAAGTGGGGGGAAAAAAACAACCTGAAGACGAAAATGCGTATGAAAACAACAGCATCGAGGCCGGAGCGGCAGAGCAACTCGTCCTCGGAGACCTGCCACGCGCGTCGCACCCAGCCAGCGGAAGGCAACAGCATGTCGAAGTTGAAGAAACCATCCTCCTCCTCCTCCTCCTCGTCGCCGCCGTTCTGAGATTTTCGTCTTTGCTTAGCGATCTGGCGTGGAGCGTAGACGGCGCTGTTCCATGGCTGCTTCCGGAGCACGGAGTAGAGAGTGAAGAACAAGAAACAGAGGCCGAGATTGATTCCAACTGAAGTGAGCAGGGCCGAGAGAATCATATCCCTCTCTCTTCGTCTCTCTACTTCCAAGTGGAAGGAGAAGTGGAGATTACAGAAGTAGGTTGTTGCAGAGTGGAAGGAGGGGAAGGAAACTGCAGAGACGACGACAGTGGACAGGTAGTAAGGAAGTGAGATTTTGGGTTCTGAAAAGGAGAAAGTCGGATGAGCAGTGACTTAAACTGAAACTAAAAAGCTTTCTCCAAAAGGGGAAAAGAAAAATTGAGCGGCAATTTAGCTATTTGGTATCTTTTTGGGGGGTTGTGGCGTCATTATCATTATGGGGAATTATTAGCTGGGGTGCTCCCTAGGGTATTGTCGACATGATCGTATGGCTTAATTACCGTAATGCCATTCTCCAATTGAAATTTGTACTGTGCAAGTTGAGTACTTAGCTGATGATTATCCAAAATGATGGTGTAAGTATATTATTCGTACAAAATAAAATGATCATCCGCTTTTCAATTTAATCTGAATACTTTTTAATTTTCAGTTTTTCCTCATCAATAGACAACATTCCCTCTCATCAAAAAATTAATTTAGAAGAGGTTAGAATCTGCATCCAAACTAATTCTTTTAGTGTGTATCTCATTCATGTTTGACTTGGTAAAGAAAACTTATTTATCCTCAAGTGGATTTCAAATTGTCTCCAGTCTCTCCCTCCTATGCAAAAATTAGTGAGTTTCGTAAAAAAGATCGATCTTAGAGTATGCACATCAATGGTATCTTCTCAATTGCATATCCTATATGGCACTCAGTATGCAATTGCAAAGAGTATTGCATCAATGTAGTGGGTAATTGCAAAGATGCAAACTTGTATTAAATGAAATTCATGATGAAAGCCACATAAGAAAATAATAAAACATTCCCTTCCCGACTTTCTCCGCGCAATCGAGGAGGTACACCATGAGCTCCACGTCCTTGGCTTCTTCTTGTTCGTCGGCGGATGTTCTGGCCGCCTTCGACGATGCCATCGCTGACGGGGTGGACGTCATAACCATCTCGATTGGGAGGAGGTCCGCTGTTGACCTCGACAGAGACACCATCGCCATTGGCGGCTTCCATGCGACCAAGAGAGGGATCTTGACAGTCCATTCGGCCGGAAACGGCGGGCCGGATCCTGCCACCACGGCGAGCGTGGCTCCGTGGTTGCTCTCGGTTGCTGCCAGCACCATCGACCGGAAGTTGGAGTCCAAGGTTGTTCTCGGCAACGGAAAGATTTTTACGGTAAACAAACACTTTTTTTGCTGTTTAATTCTTTTCATTCTCAAAAAGGGTGATTGTTGATCTTAAGGTTTTTGGGGCGGTATTTTTTGATTTCGAAAACAGGGGAGTTCGGTAAATGGATTCACGGAGAATTGGGGAGGAACTTCCCTTGTTGTTGTAGTTGTACTCAATCAATGGAAAAATTGGATGCACTACAATCTGCCAACCGGGATGTTGTGACAGTAGATTGGTGAAATACAAGATCTTGATTTGCAACTCCATCAACGGGCAGTTTTTGGCTCTTCAAGCTGGCGCTAAGGGAGTCGTCTTCCCTTACGCAGAGCTCGAGACGGCCTCCATCGTCTCGTTGCCGGCAGCTGGGATGGATCCCAAGAGATTCGATGCCATCGCCTCCTATCAGAACTCTACCAAGTAGATTCGTCGTTACTAGATCATCAACACCCACATTCTGAATCTGATTTCCCTTTTTCGTGTCATGACCACGACGTTTATGATTGTGCAGGAATCCAGTGGCAAAGATACTGAAAAGTGACACCGTGACGGACCCCGGAGCTCCGGCGGTTGCTTTCTTCTCTTCCAGAGGCCCGAATGTCATTGCGTACGCCATTCTCAAGGTACGTACACTACAATTGGGATTTTGCGCATGTCTGATTTCTAACAATTAAGATAATAAATATACATACTCTGTTTTTCTTTCCTTTCCTTTCTCTAGCCGGATGTGAGTGCTCCTGGAGTAGATATATTGGCAGGGTGGTCTCCAGTAGCATCTCTCTCCGATGATCCGAACGACAAAAGACAGTACCATTTCAATGTATTATCGGGCACTTCTATGGCTTGCCCGCATGTTGCTACCAGAGGATCGAAGGCCACGGAGTGGCAGAAGACGAAGACGACGATCAGAAGCCGTTCGATTCCGACGCGGCGGTGACGCTCCCGAAGACCCGAACAAGAGCGCGGTGGAGGAAGCGCCCCTTCAATTTGGCAATTATAATAATTTTTTTATTTTTTTATGGTTGACTCGCTATGACACAACTCCTAACAATGGCCAAGTGTAACCAATGAAAGGGACTGCAGTATAGTGGCTCAAGTAATAAATATCGAATCCACGGGTCTCTAGAGTTACTATTACTCAGCTTCAGTTCATTATCTAGCAAAACAGATTAAGATGAAAGAACTAAAACTACTCTAGCAAACTACAATTAAAGTTATTCTAATTACAGGTTGGGAACTCACTTAGGTATGATTCCCCCTAGCCACTAGCCAGATTAATGATTGATGATCTCTAACCTGTTTTACTTTCATTCACAATGCGGAGAATCCTTTACTAGACCTTGAGTCTCGACTAAAGGAACAAGGCCCTCTTGAGTCGATTGCCTAGAGGGACGTATCCTTCTCTAGAACAACCGATCAAGGCGTTTTGAACTAGACTCCCTCTATCGAAAGAGGTTCTCAATCGATACAAAGCAGTGAATCAACCCTCGACTAAAGCAATCGATCCACTACTATCAATCTATGGTGCTCTATTGACCTAATCAGGTATTCGCTCTCATAGGATCAAAGCAGAATCAATAATCTCGACTAAAGCAGAATTGAATCATGAAAACATGCATAGATTGAATATGAACTCAAGATTATCAAGTAAGAGTACTCATACAATCATCCAATCAAACAACCATAGCTAGGGTTCCTCAAAACCTAAGTGAAGGGAAGTTACTCCATAGAGAAGAGAGAGACTGCAGTAAGAATCTTCAGATGATCAGTCTTCAAGTCCGGGCTTGTTCCTCGAGCTTCCAAGGCGAAGAAATCCTCCAATTCCACTCCGAGAATGCCCTCAAATTGCCCTCTCTTTCTTTGGTTCGTCCCTTGGGTGTTTGGGATCCAAAACCCAGCTCTCTCTTGCAAAAACGCACAAAACAGGCTTTTAACAGCCTGTGTCCGCGATCCCCGGTCAGAATACCCGGTCGGGTATTTAGGGAACCGGTCGGGTATCAACAAAATGCTCCGGGTCACTATTCTGGGCAAAAGGGAAAATAACCGGTCGGGTATTTTTAGTACTGGTCGGGTATTTTTGGTTCACGACCGGGGGGCCTTCTGATGCTGCCAAAAATCCCCTATCAGATGGCCAAAAATACCCGGTAGGGTATTATGGTCGGGTATTTTGCAGTTCCGGGTCCCCTATCTTTGAATCTTCGTTTCTCCCTCGTTCGGACTCCAAATCAGGTGCCGTTTGATCCCAGACGCTCGTAGTCTCGTCCTCTTTCTTCTCATGACAAGATTACATGATTATATGGTCACAAACTGAGGTAGAAATCCATTCTTCTTCAAGTCATACCCGAGTTTCTTCCCCCGAGTCGCCAATTGATCTCCGATTGACTTGAAACTTGCGCCTACGCTTCACTTTATGTGCTAGGACCTGAAATGTGACAAAGGAACACAACCTAGCGTAAAATAGGCTAAAGAAGCGATAATGCAAGCTTAAAAGATCAAGAAACAAAGGGGAAAACATGTGCAAATATCGAGTCATCAAATCCCCCCACACTTAACCGTTTGCTTGTCCCCAAGCAAACCTAACTCAAACCAATGCAACTCTCCAGAACTCTATAGCAACACGCACCCTCGATCATTGATAGAGGATTTTCTAGATCATTTAGCAGCTTACGAGGTCAATCGACACACAAGTCATCTCATAGCTTCTTCGGCGAGAACGCTAGTCTCGAGTCGACATCATGGTAAATAGTGATCAGAGGACATATGAATCGTGGACGAAGAGACTCTCAAAAACAAAAGATCATGGACTCACATTTTTCAAGGTGCTCTTATTTTCTTTTTGAAGACGGTTGGAACCCCTTTTTTTCCCTTTCCTTTTGTTCTCTTTTTGTTCTTTTTTTTTCCAAGGGTTCCAACCCGATTTTCAGAAAACGGGGCTCCCACCTAGCAAAGGTTTTGCGGGAACCCGGCTCTTACCGGCCATGCCGGGAGCGAATGTCTCGAGGCTCGTGCGGGGGAAAGACATATAAGGGGGCTGGAGGTAGTAGGTGGAAATTGGGAACGGATTCCCGTCTCCCCTTACACACTTTCGCCCTATTCGCACGGGAGACGTTATTTTAAAGCACATTTTCGAGCACCTGTTATTTCCAAAACATGATACAAGAGTCCATGACAAGTAGAGATTCCACAACACCACACAATTCAAGGGTCCTAAGATCACTAATTCACACAATCAACCAACACACTATGAAGAAGAAATGAGACTTCTTAAATGCATCAACATCCTCCATAGTGCTACACTACCTCCCTAGGTTGCACATTACTATAGAGACTGTCAATTCAAAGCATACTGAGCAGGCAATTGCAAGGAACACATACTTGGAGCCCTCAAATCGAAATTTGGACAGTGGACTAGGCTCCAAGCACACAAACAGCCAAACATTCACACGCATTCATAATCGAACATCCCCCCACACTTAAGCACGACATTGTCCTCAATGGAGGAAAGATAAGGAGGGTAGAACGAAGTTACCAGATCAAGGGTGAATGATGGTGGACGGGGCAAGCGGTGCATTCCAGGAGGAGAGAGTAGTCAGAACACAAACACCACACAAAATCTCACAAAGGTTGAGTTATTGACTCTAAAATCAAAGAACAAAACTGACTCAACCGAAGAGAAATAGAGAAAGAAATGCAAACCGACTGGTTGGGTTGCCTCCCAACAAGCGCTTCTTTCACGTCGTGAGCCGGACGATGGCTCCTAAGTTTCGGTCCATGCTAGAACCTCCTTGAAGTTGAGGTTCTCGTCGATGAGGTGGAGTCTCAAGTCACAAGCAGGTCACAAGCAGGTGGTGTGGCAGGTGATGAAGGCTCGTGCACTTGATGCAGATGAAGTCTCCACCCTCGAGACCTCTTCTTCTCTTCTC